AACAACTATACAAGGTGTTTAGGGGGGGGGGATTAATTAATCAAAATATAAAAAATAAATATAAAATGTTATGCATCACAAGGATCATAGGGTTTTCCTCAACCTTAACCCCCATTAGCACACTTTTCATATAAAATTAATTACAAACTAATTGCATTTCATAGTTTAATTAACAAGTGCTGCTAATGTTTTTCCTAGTGTTGAAGGTATCATTATTAATAACATATTATATAATTAAACTTCTTACTTCAAAAAATAAAATAAAATCCATCCTTCCATAAACCCTTTGATTTTCCTTATTTCTATTTTTATACTACATTTTTTCTTATTATTTGTTTTTTTTGTTTAATTTATCATCATTTTTTAATTGCAATTTAAACATTTGGCATTGTGATAATGGACAACAATCATGTGTCTCGTTACTAAGAGATATTCAACTATTATTTATTTATTTATTTGAAATCTACAAGCAATGATCTCAATAAAATTGGGCAAAGAAGCTAGCTAAGTTTTCCTTTTCTAGATTTTGTACCATGAAATTAAGATTTTATTAAGAGATAAATATTCATTCAAAATAGCTAAATTTTAGTGTTTAATTCAAAATAGCTATTAAAAAAAAAAAAAACTTTTGTGAAGCCTCAGTGTCACATGGCCATTAAAGTAAAAAACAAGCAAAATAACTGGGCAATAACAAGGAGAATTTATGAGTTTGAAGTATGGAATGGAGGGCCATTCTTTTAGATATATAAAAAGGTAATTGGTAAATTATATTTTTAATAAAATGTTATAAATAGTCAATAATTATCATATTTCTTCCTATTAAAATAAATAACAACTATTTTTTATTTGAAATTTGGTTTGCCGATGATGAAAAAAGAAAGAAAGGAGACAATAGGATAAAAGTAGAGATATCTTATTTTATTTTATATTTTAGAAATATGTAATTTACTTCAAGATAATCTAATAAGATAGATTCATTTTAATTTTTTTCTTTTTATTTTTTAATATATATATATATATATTAAAAAAATATAAAATGAATCTATATATATATTCTCTCGTGTCTCGGCTGGATACGAAACTCGCTAAAAAATCATATTGATATTTAACTCAAATAGTGGATCTTTCCAAATACAATGATGAAGAATCCTTATCAGAATATCAATACAGACATCAACCTCAGATGTTAGAAAGAGGAGGACCAATTTCTATTCTTCCAATCTTTAACCAGAATACGTGATTGAGATTTTTTTACAAGTGTGTGATATAATTATTTTTTAAAATATTTTTTATATTAAAATATATTAAAATAATATTTTTTTTATTTTTTAAAATTATTTTTAAGATTAGCATATTAAAACAATTTGAAATATTAAAAAAATTAATTTTTAACAAAAAAATTAAAATTTTGTAGAAACAATTTGAAATATTAAAAAAATTAATCTTTAACAAAAAAAAATTAAAATTTTGTGGAACGAAATTACGTTTCAAAATTAATGTCTTATGAAAATTTATTTATTTTTAATTTAAAATTATTTTTTAAATATTTTCAAATTTGTTGATATTAAAGAATAATTTTTTAAAAAATAAAAAATATTATTTTAATATATTTTTCAATAAAAACTACTTTAAATAAATAACCATAACCACAATTCTAAATGCTCTAAAAAACCATTATTATTTAACAAACCATTATTATTTAACCTGATCTTAATATCAAGACGTAGCTAATGTACTCCTAACTTGTAAACTCGTGCTTAATATCAAGACGTAGCTAATGTACTCAAATTCCTGATGAAATTTATTAATTTATTAATATTTTTTTAAATGAAGTGATATTATTTTATTAAAATTTATTTTATTAACTAATATCAATATTTTTATCCATGGCTTAGATGTTGCCGAGGTTTAAACTTTCAAATTAGTTCTAATAACCATGATTAAGACTCAACATTGAATGGGTGGAATGTAACTAAAGGGATTTCTCTCTCTCTCTCACACACAATTTAATTAGGGTTATAGGATTTCAGCGATTAGAGATAAAATAGATAAGAGAGAAAAATATACTCCATCTGGCAAGCATGCAATACCCAATCATTTCTTGCCGCGTGTCATTAAAGCCCACCATACCTCCATGTCTCAACAGGTGTTCGTTATCTTGTAAGGGAAGCACAGGATTAGTACCTAATATATCACTTATTCTCAATCAAGTCTAGAAGAAAAACATTTCATCTATTAGGTCCCAAGGTTTCATAATTTTTTATTTGGATTATTTTGTAAATTCATTTTATTTCTCATTCATTTTTTTTTTTACCAAAAAAGAGTAATTCTAATCCATAAAGTAGCGAAGTATATGGAAAGGCTAAAGAAAATTAATACAAGGACTCAATTGAGATGTGTGTGAAACATCAGGGACCCAATTGACAAAGTATTTTGCTTTGGGAGTTGATTGTGAAAAGTTTTATATATTAGGAACTAAATTAATTTTTTTAAATATTTTTTTAATGTTGATTTGAGGTTTTAATATTTTAATGTTAAAAATAAAATTTAAAAATTGTAAGAGTAATATTTTAAAATAAAAAACGTGAAAAGATTTTTTCTCACCTAAAATCACTCCCTCTTGTCCTAGCGGCCACTAGTTCATAGTGGCACTAAACCGTAATTACCATGCATTTCAATGCCCCATTTCCCATCCCTAATCTCTTTCACGTATTGTCTCTCTCGCATTTTCTTCTCTTCATCAAAACACGCTGAACCCAATTTTAATCCCCAAATTCTAGGCTTCCTCTCCATTAAAGATCATAACTTTGTTACATCATTCGATAGATTTCTAGTGTCTCTATATTGGGTTGTTTTTACTTTTTGAAAATCCTATTTAGAAGCCCTATTTTGTTGGCGTTTTTTCTTAAACGACCATTAAATGCAAAAAAGATGCCTAATTCCAATGGCCAAGCAGCAGCAGCAGTGCCAGTACAAATGAATCATATAGAAGCCCAATTACTAGATGAGGAGGATGGGGATAACAATAATATTACTGGTGGAGGAGAGGAGTCAATAGATAACACCAACAGCATTCAATTTGAAGATGGTGGTTGTAGTGGTGTTGTTGGGGAGGCTGTAGCAGCAAGTGACATGTATGGTAGTACTAATGGTGGCGGCGGGGCTGATTATGGTTTAGTGACTGCAAACAATGACCAACTCACTCTGTCTTTTCAGGGTGAGGTTTATGTTTTTGATGCTGTTGCTCCTGACAAGGTTAGTCCTTGTGTTTGTTTTGAATTTAATTCTCCGGATAAGATTTCAGTTTTGTTTTTTTTGGTTGGATTTAGTATCTGGGTTTTGGTTACTTTTGTTACCTCTGATTTGGTTTCGGTTGGAATAGGTGAATTTTGGGGGTTCATGTATTATGGGTTTGATGCTTAGTTTACTTGAGAAGGTTTGGTTTTGTGAAATTTGTGATCTTTTTGTTTTTTGTATTGATGTTAAATCAAATCGGTATCTTTTAATTTTGGTTTCTAAATCAGGCTTCAGCCATGATAGGGTTTTAAGTTTACAAAGGCTTCCATATTCTGTAGTAATGTGTTTCAGTGTTCGGGGTTGAAATGTAGTGTGAACATTCAAGTAGTTGACTCTAGTGCTTCTGTGACTGCAGAATAGGAGTAGTGTGTTTGCCAATTAATATTTATGAAATTTAATATTTGTTGACTTTGTAGTTGATTTGTCAATGAAAACAAACTGGACATGTAATTCAGGGTTAAAATGTGGATGAGTTTTTACAGGTGCAGGCAGTGTTGTTGCTTTTGGGTGGCTATGAAATCCCTTCTGGCATTCCCGCCATGGGGACTGTCCCTATTAACCAAAGGACGCCCGATCATGTAAGTCCTCTTGTAATCCATTTTATATATTTATTGTGCGGTGCTGCTTTATCCTTACCTTCATGTCACCTTAGGGCATCTATGACTTGTCTGGAACTGGAAGGCCAATTCAACCTCACAGAGCTGCTTCATTAAGCCGGTTCAGGGAGAAGAGAAAGGAGCGGTGCTTCGACAAGAAAATTCGTTACACTGTGCGGAAGGAAGTTGCTCTCAGGTATTATCAGCATGCTTTTCTGATTCCATGCCTTATAGGAGGGACTCGTCTGGTTTTAATGGGAATCATGACTAGAAGTTACATGTGGAATCAGACATCACCTGAAGCTCTATCTCTCTCTCTAATTTTATTTACTTGCTTGGTGAGGTTTCTCAAGTGTTTGCCATTATATCTTTCTTCTAATATATGAGTCACTGTCAGGATGCAGCGTAAGAAGGGCCAGTTTACTTCATCCAAGGCTAATTCTGATGAAGGGGGCTCGGCTTCATCTGGCTGCAGTGGAATGCAGGGTTCTGGACAAGATGAGAGCCTGCTGGAAACTTTGTGAGTCTTGATTCTTTTCTTTAATCTACAAGAATCTTTTTCTTTAACATTGTGTCCTTTCCATAAAAATGGTGAAAATACTGTATGAGATTAGACTTTTTTTCCCAATGCTTTGCACAGATGTACTCATTGCAGAATCAGCTCAAAGTCCACTCCAATGATGCGCCGTGGTCCAAGTGGTCCAAGAACTCTTTGTAATGCATGTGGACTCAAGTGGGCCAACAAGGTGTGTAAATTTCTTGGTGCCCTTTTACATTAATTTGTGAACTTATTGCAGGTTGAGCCATGTTGATTGCAGTTACTGCATCCTTGTTTAATTTATGTGATATAGTTGGCCTAAATTTTATCATAAAACTACATAAAATGTGTTCATGGGCATTATTTATGCCAGGTTATCCGTGCAGGTTATTGTCATTTATCAAGTTTCTGGCCTGCCTTCAGCCTTTTTTGACATCTCTTTTTGGCCAAGTTACAATGAATACTGCGTCCTGGGTACCATGCCTCTTTCTCATGCTGTTATGAGCTTACCCTAAAGTCTAGGTTAGAGTGTTAGATTCGGGTATCTGACTGATCAGGTTTCATGCCTGATGATCTGGGTAAATTGATGCTCATCGTCTTATTTTCTCCTCCTTGATGGACTCCATACACTCTTGAATTCATAAACCATTCATGTAAAGGTGTGGCAACTGACTTTAAAAAATGTTGGACGATCTCAAAAATAATGGGCAGTAGTTATTGTTGTCATCTCACTTGGGAAGTGTGGGTTTTGCAGGGTGTCTTAAGAAACCTTTCAAAGGTTCCGATCATGAGTATTCAGCAATCTTCTATGAAGACAGTTGCACAGGTGCATTCCTTGGGAAAATATGCACTTTCTCATTCATTGAAGTCCTTTTTTTGTTATTGTGTCATATTTCTTTACTGGGGGCGAGATATTCTTTGAAGCAAATCTAGTATTTTTCTATTCCATTTTTTATCGTTGCTAGTTGCTACATATTCCATGTCACTCATGCTGGATGTTATCTTTCCTTTGAAGGTTAATGGTGAAGTTAACAATTCTGATGCCATAACTGTGGCTGCAGACATAGTCTCGCCTAACGGTGATAACTCCACTTTGGCTACTGAAACATGAGATGGTTGTTTCTTGAAGTGATTGGCATTTTCTGTTAGAAAACAGATGCCAAACAGGCCAATAACTTGTGAAATAACATTCAGCTTCTCTCAGACCAATTGTACAAATGATTCAGCACCTTTGTCATGTACAGATTGTTTTTTAACTTGCTATAGTTGTAACCTGCAAGTTTGTAGGCAACCCCAAATAAATTGGAATGGAGGCATTAATTGAGTTGAGATCTTGTAAATGAAGTTTGAAGATCAATTTAGAAATGTTATTCTTGGTTCATTTCAAACCATGTGCGTTGAGAACAAGCAGGAAATATTCCTTGTATTCGTCTCCCAACAAGAAGAGAACTTCACAAATTTTTGCAGGATGGATGTAGCTTGCAGAGTAATCAACCCGTGCAAGGAAATTGGAAAGGACGAATTCAAATCCAGTTTTTTCTTTTCTGGAGGAGGATCCAAATCAGGCCTCTAGCGTTCCTAGCAATTTGACTTTGCGTTCCTTACTGCTAGACCAATGGTACCAATTTCTTTTTCATTTTTTGGCTTAACTTAATCTAGGCATTTGACTGCAATCAGCCTTCTGAGATTGTTTATTAGTTGAAGTTTGCAATTCAAGCGTCAGCTACAATATTGTTATGTGGTAGGGACTCTGATTGATAGCATCCGGAGTTTAAGGAGCTTGTTTTACTTTTAATAAGCCAGACTTTAAGGATCCTTGTCTGTTTATGATGCGATGTCTCTCCATAGATTATAGAGAAGTTTATGTTTTACGTCTCCCCTTCCATTCTTCTTCAATGAGAGCTTGTTCTCTACCTCTTCGCATGCATCCAACCGCCTCGTTGAGACTTAATTAAAAAAAGAAAAACGATTTTAAAATAACTTTTTATTATAAATTTCTTTTATGGTGCTAAAGTGAATCCTATAAAGTAACTAGTAACTAATATGATGATATTAATTAAAGCTTGAGCATCATGAAAAGAGAATATATTATTTTATTTTTTTTGTTTTTAAAAATAAAAATTTATTTATTGTTTATTGGGTTAGCAGATTTCATCAAGTATAAATCATTGGTGGTGAATTACAGTCGCACCTAACTAAAAGTTAAAGAACATTAGGTAAGATGTGATTGAAAGCTGTGGCTGATGACAAAATTTTGAAACTTGGGGTAAAAAATTGGTGCATGCATGCATACATCAATTTTTGATGATTTTGTTGACTCGACATGAGTTACCAACTCAAGAACAATATATTTTATCATGTCATGGAACCGCACATTAACTTAAATTATCTAGTGTTTTGTTTTATATTGGTGTATGAATATATTCAAATATATTTATTTTTTAATATATTATTCAAATGTCTTTTAGACATGGGTACATTAGTTTTTCAAACAATTTATTAATTTATTTAAATAAAAATATCTTTTTTACATGAATTTGTTGAATGTTAAAAAAACAACTAATCATGTATACACACACACACATACATAGTAAGATGAATTTTTCATTCTAAAAATAGATCTAGTAGTTTAATCCGTTAAATTTATTTTTTTTTCTCACTAATTTACTCATATTTTACTTAGAATTAATTTGTCTAACAAGGTTAAGAGATTATCCACACTCTTTCAATATATATTTCTTTTAAAAATTTAATTTAAATCTTAGTACACGGTACCTCAATCTTTTTTTAAATGTGAAATATATATATATATATTTATTTTTTAAAAGAATTTTAAAGCTATTTTCACCTTGTATTTCTTTCAATTGAGTTTTAAATTTTTTATATAATTTTCTTTAAAAAAACTCCTTTTGTGTTTAAACTTTAAAGCCTGTAGAGATGGCTAAATTAGCCTAAGGAAAAATATATTCTCTTATTTATAAAAAGAAATATTACTTCAAAAAAATCTAAAAATTATTATTATATATACCATCTAAAAATAAAATTTTTATAACTCGTATTTTTTCTCCAGTTACTCAATAAAACACATTTTGAATAAATAAAAATATTAAATTATTGTTATGTATTGCTGTCAGAATATAAATAAATTTATGGTACTCAAGCTAGAAATAAAAAAATAAAATTTATGATTTTTTCTTTTATTTATATCTATTTATTTTTATAAAGGAAGCTTCGTTGAGTAAATGAGCGGTGATTCAGCGTGGAGATTGTTCGTGAAAAATTACGTGACACGCGTCCTCTCCGTCACGCGATTCTTCTATTGCCCGGGCCCCCCCTATTAACGGCCCTGACATTATCTCTCTGCTCTGTTGACAACAGAGGGATTAAAAAAAAAAACTACACGTTGACAACAGAGGGATTAAAAAAAAAAAAACTACAGAAAAAGGATAACTACAAATCCGTCCCCAAACAATGTTGCGGATCTCAAATCAGTCCCCAAGTATACAAATGTAGCAATTCTCCTATCCAAACACCACCAATATAACAACCAAGTCCCCTAGAAAATTCAAAAAATAAAATAAAAAATAAATGAATTATATTGAATTTCTTGGTACACGTGCTTAAATCTTGAGCTCCAAGAAAATGAATTATGACCGTTTAAAATTATATTTCAGCATATGTTAATAATTTTAAAAATTAAACAACATATCTTTAAAGTTATATTTCATCATTTTTTTTTAATTTTTGGAATGGAAAATTAAATTCTAGCAATCCAACTTGTAAAATTCAATTTTAAAATATTTAATCTTGTTAGAATTACATATTATTAAAAAAATAAAAATAAAAGATGAATTTTCACGCTATATTGAATTGTATAAAACAATATATATACATTCACAAGATTTAGATATATAAACGCAAAGAAATTCTTCAAAATAATATATTTTTTAAAATTTATTTTAATATCAGCATATCTAATTGATTAAAAAAATAAAAAATAATTTTAAAAAATTAAAATTTTCAAAAAAACACATAATTGCACCGCATAAATAAACAGTATTTATATAAGCCGATCCTCATATGAGCCGTTTTGAAGAAAATCAACTGTGTATAACCAAATATTTATGCAATTAGAGTAATATGACAACTAATCTGAAACATCTATAATAACTGAGGGACTGATTTGTATAGCTCCAAAGAAAACGCAAGAGTGAAAAAATAAAAAGCAATAAAAAATGTATTTGTAATAAAGAAAATAGTTTTCTTTGCTTCCTCGTAGTAGCTAGCAGTAGCTACTAGCTAGTTTACTATTTCATAGCTACAAATTTCTATTCATAAAGAGAGGGAGGGAGAGGGGAGCTTTATTTTAGTGGGAATGGTAAAGAAAATGGAGATGGTGAACCATCAAAGGCAAAAGAGAGTAAGGAAGGGTAGGGATTATCATAATCGAAGAGTGATGCAGATCGAGGGTGGTGATATTGATTATGGATATGGTTTTGATGATGGGACGATGGAGATGATTAATGGAGGAGGAGTAGAAGAAGAAGTGGGGCAATTTAGTGCTAACAACAATATTAATGGTATTGTTATTAGTAATGGGAATGATAGCGTGTTTGAATCAACAAGAACAAGTGAGCTTACCATTGCTTTCGAAGGAGAAGTCTATGTTTTCCCTGCTGTTACTCCTTCTAAAGTAAGTTCTGTGATGCTTAACCTCTCCTTTTCTGTCTCCCTCTATATGTTTTTTTTCTTTTTGATGGATGCTTGTGTTGGTTGATTGATTCAGATTGATTTTTTGACTTGTTTTCTGTGCGGGTTTTTTAATACATTGAAATGGGTTTTTTTTTTGGGGTATGTTAGCTGATGTTTCAATTTGTTTGGTGGAAGAAGATGAGGAAAACAGGGGAAGGAAGGTTTGATTTTTTGGGTTTTAATTTGGGTTCTTCTGGGTGTGTTCGTTTGTTCGCTGAGAAAATGAAAAAAAAAAAAGGGGGAAAACTGAAGAATAGTTTCTCTCGGTGGTGTTGTTGGTTTTTGTCCTGGAAAATTGGTTTATGGATCAGTGGGAATTTCAGTTTTGATGTTTTTGTTTAGCTTACAGAAAAATTAGAATTGTTGCTGTTGCAGTTTAAAATTAAAATTTATGAATCTGTTTATTTGCTGAGGAAGTGTATTGGATTGGAGGAAATAAAAAGTTGAGTTTCTGGTGTTTGCTACTTGATAGTTTGGTTTGAATTATGGAACAGTGGGCAATTCAGTTTTAAGTGGCTGTGTTAAGATTGCAAGAAAAGTGCAATATAGCTGTTACATTTGAAGTTCTTTCTGGGGACCCCTTTTATGCATTTTTTTTAAAACCGTTGAAAGCTCTGATGGAGCATGTTCAATGGAGAGTCATACTACGTTTTACCATCAATTGACTGGGTGTTTGCAGTTTTAACACTTCGAAATGGGATATCAGCTTTGAGTGTTGTGATTGTTACTCTCTTGAGTCAGCAGTATAGGAAAAGTTTTGGAGTTTGGTGATTGTTTTGCTGTTAGAATTATTACGTGCTATGGGAGGATGTATAATGATGATCTTATTGAGTTCTTGTAGTATTGGTTATATGAGATTGAATGCTACATTGCAAATTATTTGTGATTGTTGGTACTTTCTAGATTTTGGATTCTATGTCCGTTCATTTCATTTCTTTTTGATAATGCAATTGATCTTGAAAATCAAATGATGATGCTGAACACTCCACTCATTGTTGAGGCTTGGAAATTGAGAAATGCATTTTGTGCTTTAATTGTTTGTCTTTTACTTCATCACATGCCTTCAAGGTTCTACTTTGTTTTTTTTTCTTCTTTCTGTATACATCCCAACTGCTAGAGTTTCATATACTTTTCAGTTGGTTTCTCTAAATGCTGTTGCCATCAAAACAAAGAATGTCAGAGTGGCTGGTGGACTGACTTCTACGACATGCACTCAATTGTTGACATTGAGTCTCTTTTTTAAGTATACAATTTGTGTTTTTTAAGTATATGGGGTATAAGCTAACTGTTATTAGTGTCCACCATTTTTATCTGTTCTCATGGCTTTTTAACTTTGTGCTTGTTGTTCCCTTGCGTAAATAAATGTTTCTAAGCTGTATCTAATTTTCCCTTTGGGAATCTTCTCATGCCCTGATTTTCTGGAATGCTTGTGACAGGTGCAAGCAGTGTTGTTTCTTTTGGGAGAGCCTGAGTCATCCACTATTGTGCCAAGCTCGGAATTTCTGCTTCAACAGAATGCCAGGGTATTTCCTGCATCACCAGCAGGCTGCTCTATTTGAACTGTTTGCTGTCTTTTCTCTGTATATATTTAATGCTTTCTAACTACATGTCCCAGAGTGCAGGTGATGCCTCACAGGGCTTGAAATTTTCACGAAGAATTGCCTCCTTGGAAAGGTTTCGTGAAAAGCGGAAGGAGAGATGCTTTGAAAAGAAAGTTCGGTATACCTGCCGGAAAGAGGTTGCTCAGAGGTAGGTTCTAAATTTTGATGTGCTCTATCATAGGACATGTGGAGACTTTTGTGCATGAATTGATTTCATTAAATATACCCTCTTGTTGAAAGTGAATTGAATAAACAATAAGAGCCCTGTTTTCTGGGCCATATTACAACAATCTTACAAGGACAATAAATGGGTTCCCAAGGAACACAAATATGAACCCATGCATATGTGGTGAACCCATGCATCTGATGTTTCTTCCAGGATGCATCGCAGGAGAGGACAATTTGCATCATTGAACAATTGTTATGGCACAGATAATGGCATCTGGGAACCAAGCAATGGCATGCGTAATCCTGAATTTGAGTGAGTCAAAGCTTATCATTCCCTTATATCATTTCATAAAGCATGCATTGAAATATGTGTTTTTCATAAGGATTACATAGTGCCTGGTCTATTGCAGTAACTAGTTTCTGCATTTTTCTTTAGTTTGCTTAGATGTCAACACTGTGGCATTTGTGCAAAGGATACTCCAGCAATGCGCCGGGGACCAGCTGGTCCAAGAACTCTTTGTAATGCTTGTGGCCTTATGTGGGCAAATAAGGTAGGCATCACAATGTTGGAATATCTGTTGATTTGGTTATGCAGTTAACAATGTTGATTCAGCAGTTTTGTATGTTTTTGATTGTCATTGGTCCAGTTTATGAGCCTCTTTTTTTGGTGGAAACATAATTTCTCTATATTATTTATAATGTGCAAATTGGATATTCCTGTGTTTTTTTGTTAGACTATCAATTTTATCGTTTGTTTATCCAGGTGCTCAATTACTCATAATTATGAACTTGTAATCTTGTATCTTACATGATAAATGTCAATATCTATGTTTTGTATCCACAACATGTCTTCTCATGGATACTAATGTTTGTTTAGATATAACTAGGTCATGGATTAGAAATTAGCATTTTCTTTGCATGTCCTAAGCATCAAGAGGAATTTAGTTATTCCATATCTTCTCATGGATACTAAAGTTCGTTTAGATATAACTAGGTCATGGATTAGAACTTACCATTTTCTTTGCATGTCCCAAGCATCAAGAGAAATTTTAGTTATCCCATATCTTGCTGTTCCTGGCATTTACAAGCATTATAATTTTTGAACCACTGATTCTACTTCTGGTCCAGCTTTCATTTTTCCATGCGTTTTGTCTTGAAGGGAACTCTGAGAGATCTTAACAAAGGGGGACGACAAATTTCCTTCAATCAAAATGAACTGGTGTGTATCTTTTCCAATTGAATTTGCTTTAAGAGCAACATTTGTTACCAGTATGAATCATTACTAATTTTGTGCATTATTTCTTTCTAAGTGGATTGTTGATTAAGCAATATGATTATCCTTATTGGTTGTTTTGTGGAGTCATGTATTTCTTTTCCAATTAGAAATTCCTATTTGGAGTGTAACTCTTTTTTTTTTTTTTTGCAGGTAACTCCTGATTTTAAGCCTTCAACTATGGAACGAGAAAATCCTTTTGCCAACCCTGATGAAGCGGTATGATAGTTATATCTGTGAGACACAGCTGTCTGAAGCAACATATCTGAAATGCAATAAATTATTAGATTGCATAGACTACCACTTTTTATTTGGCCATAACCTACATGAATAGTTCCATAATCAGAAGATACTTGTTGATCCATGAACACCTTTAACTTTTATCTTTTGTACATGATTCTGATGGATTCTGCCATTTTCAATGATCAGGAGAGCCAAGAAGAGAGTAAGCCTGTGCCATTAGATTCTGAAAACTCTCTGAGGCCAAATGAACAGGCAAGTCATTTTGGTAGATTGACGAGAAATATTTATCAACTATTGGATGATGTTATCTTTGAGAAGCAGGCATATTGATGCTGGATTCTACATGCCATATTAGATATGTCAAAATCATTGTTCCTGTAACGCAAAACTACTCCTGTGAACCTGCAAATAGCTCCTCTCTCATTTGGCTTTAGGAGTTGCCATGCCTTTTTTTTTTTCCCTTCCAAAAGACCTTGTTCTAGTAAGCTGTAATACTTTCCTAATCATTTTATTTGAATCAGACAATTGGACTTAGGAGGTCACATGTGTAAATGGGTAATGAGCTGGTTGCTTTTTGTTGGAAACTTTATCTTCCTTTTACTGAAGCTTTTTGGTAGTAATTACATAGCATTTCAGTAAAGTCATGAATTCAAGAGTTTTGGTTTTAATTTTTGTCTTTGGTTTTGTTAATTAGTAATTACACAAACCTTTTGTTTTGATTATCATATTCACAATTCGTATGTGCAGGATTTGCTAGAAACTGATGAGAATGCTCCTGATCCTTTGCCCATGCATGTGGAAAATTCATCAATGAAACTTGATGATGAGGTAATAATATTGCTGAAACATGCATCTCAAAATTTCAATGACCATCCCCCCAAAAACCCTTTGTACTCCTGCCTGACAGGATTTCCCAAATAGTTTTCTATCAAAACATCAGAAGTTTTATCATTGATTTCCCTTTGTGACCATGCACACAATTAATGTTACGCAACAAACTCACACCCTTGAAGAGCAAGGGTAAAGTTGGTAAATAATATATTTTACTGTATCGGTCTGACTTCACTCAAAGAGATAAATGATCATAAATGGACTATAAAATTAGGATAGGTTGAATTCATGATTGTCAGTGTATTTTTGGGAAAGTTCTTATTTGTTAAGTGGTGTTTTTCATTGAGTTCCCCAGTTGGTCAAGGTGTCCTGGCAGCTCTACTTTTCTGATACCTGTTCTGAAAATTGTTCAGATATTTATATACTGGTGGTCATACGCTGTGCTGATCACTTTAATATTCCCAATTCTTATAGACCTACTGAATTGTGTTACTTGAGGAAAGTGCAACCTTTGGGTCCCGTCCCTGATTTCAGGAAGATAGAGTATAGATTACTAAGATGAGGGTTTTACACTCGCAAAATTTTAGAAAGTAAATAAATAAAGTCGATCTATTTTATGCTTAAACAAGCACCAGTTACCCAGTATGTACGTATGCTTGTGAGCATGTTCAATTCATAATAGAGGGGAAGCTGCTTAGAAGTGAATGATGTGACAGATCAAATCTTGCATTGCTTTATATATGTTCATCATAGAGCATTCCAAAGAAGCTTAGCGGCATGAACACTCTTTATTGTTGCAATGTGTGACATGTACCAGGACTTTGAGAACACTTTGGATGAGCTTGGTGACGTTTCAGGTTCAGAATTTGAAATCCCGGAGCATTTTGATGATCAGGTAGTGGTTTTTAAGTGACTTGGCATCAAGCATATTGAAGACTAACTCTATACTTCAGCTGGGTTATAAGCATGTAAATCTTAGTTACTTCTCCAAGTTCACAGTACCAACTTACAGGTTGACATTGAGGATTCCAGTACAGGGACCGAGTGGCCTGGAACCTGAGACCATTCTATCTGCCTTCCTTGTTAATCCTTTCTAAGAGCATCCGGTTTCTTTCCAGGGATGAAGATGCAATTCTTGTTTATACTAACATCAGATGTCTAGAGATGGTTGTTGTTTATAGACAAACTTTACTTGTATTTGAAAGTTGCTGGGCATTCTCTTTGACACTTTTGTGCAATTTATAATGTGATTACTGTTCTCCTTTTCCCGTTCTATTGTAAGGATGTAACTAATCGAATGGAAATGTGTTGTGGTAAGGCCAGCTTGCCTTCATGAAGCATTGAGCTGATCTGGTTATGAAGTGCAAGGAAGTAAATAGGTTAGTGTTTATGATGAGTGTTTTCAAGTATAGATGGACTCCAAAAAAAAAAAAAAAACCCTATTGTTTTTCCTTTCATTTTTGAGTCATATCGAGTTGGGATTTTCTGCCCTTTGGGATTTTCTGCCCTTTTCATCAGGTTTATAAAGACAAGAAGAACATAAAAAGATAGGTGCAAAAATTCAATTGAAGTTGTTATATCAAATAAAGTTGATTGCATTGCATTAGTCAGGTAAGGTGTTTCCGAGTTTCCTATAGCTGCACACATCGGTTTGAACAACAGAAGGACACCATGCTAATGTATCTCCCTGTTCCTGAGTTTCTTGTAGCAGGATTCTCCGGTTTGAACAAAAGGAAGGACCCTATAGACGTCGGAGAGTTTTTGGTGTTTAGCAAAGATAACAAGTTCTTTCTCTATGTGTATACTATCATCGTCAGATCCATATTCTTTGTCTAATTGAATCTAAACTCAAGGTTCAGCCCAAAACCCAACCCAACTTATCCAAGTATTTAAAGAAAAGGTACAAGAGAAATTTCTTTTCCTCTCTTTTCTTTCTTCTTGGTCGTGACCTCCTCGCCTCCTCTTTAAAAACGCAAAGGGATTTTAGTTTTTTTAGATTTAAGTTATTGATTCAATAAAGGTGGAAGTTATTATTAATTTTCTTTTAAGTTATTTTTTATTATGATTTATTTATAAAAATATTAAAAAAAAATTTAGGTTTTTGCTTTGAATAGATGATTAAATAATTCAAGAAATTTAATTGAAGTATTAGAGTGTTAGTTGGCTTAAAAAAATTAATAATTGGAATCATGAGTTGTTGAAAAATATACTGTATTTTTGTATAATTTGTAATTTTAAAAATTAACAGTTCAAGATTCTAGAAATTTCGATTAACTGGTTGGTTGAACCAACTAATTAATTCGTCGGTTTGATAATGGTTGATTGGTTGATTATTCTGGTCGACTTGCTAATAAGTTTATGTTTGAAATTAATTTAAGTTGGTTGGTTGAACCAACTAATTAATTCGTTGGTTTGATAACGGTTGATTGGTTGATTATTCTGGTCAGACTTGCTAATAAGTTCAATCAATTTAAATTATGTTCGAAATCAATTGAATGAAAGAGTTCAATATTATATTTACATTTTGATCTTTAAATTTAGAATTTAGAATTTTTTATATTATTTTGCTTTAAGTTGTTAGTATTTTTTGTATTTTATCGGTTATACTAATATTTTTTCTAATAATTTTTAATAATCTTTGGTTTTGTATTTGTTATATTTTATTTTTTTCTAAATAAATGAGATAATTTTTAATATATATATATATATATATTCTGTGCGGAAAACAGAGCCAATCCAAAGAAGTATAACGACAATGGGTTGAAAAGCGATTAATGGTATGAAAAATCACCACTGCAATCTTTTGCATGAATTCCTACAGCATTTCACAATTTTCTGGCCTTTCTCCTTCCTCCCTTTATATACGACCATGATTCATCATCATCACGCATGTCAGAGTGGTCACCAAGGTTAAAGGCTAAAAGCAGTATTTCAATCAAAAGCTAAAACGGGTTTAGCCTTGGAAAAACAGAAAAGGATAAAAAAGACTATTGCATAATTCACCACCAAACGAAGACTTCGCAGGTGGGGAAAGGCTCCAACAATAGAAATTATCTTCAAGAGGTGAAATGTTGCACTTTGGTGGAAAACCAGTGTTTAGTATCTTACAGCCTCAAATGTAGCAGGTTGAGCAGTCCTTGTGTATCTAGAACATCCGTATATCTTGACAAGTTATGGGTTCCATGTTTGATTTGATTCTTCAGTAAGTAATACATTCATAGCTTTACCGACCGAATCACAGGTCAATTTTGTTTACCCCAGAGCAGTAAACAAGCAAGAAAGACTTAAGAAGGGGCATCGAACCACGGGGTAATTCAACTGGGAGTCTACATCTACTCAGGCTCATGACTTTCAGGTTCAATAGAGGACAAAACAAGCTCTGGGCATGGCAATTGTGACCTAACCGAACATGCTCCAAGCTGAGTGTTTCTAGGCAGCTAAATTGGTTGGTGAAATTTGTTCCCAAGATGCGCGAAACCAACTTGAGATGCTTTAGATCAGTGGTGGCACCTTCATACAACTTGTTGGAGAAGACATGTTGCTTATCACAACAACATAACTTGAGAGAGATGTTTTTAGCACCCTTGCTAATGACAAACCTCACTCAGTGATCAACATAATCAGAGGAATCAGAATGGAGGCAGAAAGAGAGCTCGAAAGATATAATCTGAGAACCCTGATACGAGTTCAACAGCTGAGTGACTGCTGATAGGAACTTGTCCTTGTAATCGGCAGCAGGAGGTCGTTTGTTATCATAAAAGACAGTTTCCGAATATGTTAGCTGAATCAGGTTTGAGAATAGGCAACAATTTCTAGGCCGATTAACAATATGGTGGATAAAACAATGTTTGGACCACCAACCTCAGTGGTAGGTTGGAGATGATAGAACAAGAATGTTGTCAGGATGTCCATTCACGAGATCACTATTTGTCCTAGTCGAGCTGTTTCATCTTCAATGTTTGCTTATTACCCACAACAATCGATATGATGATGGGATCAGATCAGAGAAAACCAATCCTAATTTCCTCCGGTGAAGGAATTGTGTTGTCAGGTCTGAAGATGCGAGTGTTATGAGTTTAAGTTTTGATTGAAAATTTACGTATGTTTCCAATTTTGCTCCGCTTCAGTTTTGTACAGAGTTCCTCTTTGCAGGATTTGACAATGGATGCCATAGGTTATCTTTGTTTAACCAGGTAGGATTTTAAAGTGAATGCTTTTGCTCAACATATCTTAGGAAAATCAACTCCTCGCATACATTTGAGGAACAAAATATGACGATAGCTTCATATATGAAAGCCTCACAGCCGATATATTGCATTAAGTTCAAGCATTTTACATTTTACAGAACAGGAAAATCAAGTAATGCTATGTGCTTTTAACTTCAGAAAACAACAATCTGGGGAAAATGTTCTAGTGTTTGCTGTTCAGGATTACGCAGTGATATCAAAGCACATGTAAGGTACAAGTTGAAACTTCTTCCAGCAGTTCAATACTTAATGATGTGGCGGCGCAGCCAAAGCTCATACATAATCATGCGAAACAAATCATACTTGACAGGAAGAGAATTCCATTGGAAGTGCTTCCTAACCTGCAAACAAGAATAAAATATTTGGTTAATAATCTAGGTGATGAATGGATATTTTCGAGAACACACTGGTTTGATTGAGAAGTGACAAAATTCTTATCCACCTGAAGAAGATTTCGATGCATTTTCTTGTACTTTTCTTTTGGTATTCCCTTAAGAATTTTCTCTAGATCGGGAACATGTTCCTCTTTGAGAATTACAGAGAAATTATTCCAGTCAAGAACGTCATTGAATGGAAAGTCATAGTAGTCGTGCAAGATAACTGCAGAAACACACATGAACTGCTTAGAAGAGAAACAAGAGGCCAGACAGGTTGACGAGTAAAAAAAAAAAAAAGTGTTTTAATGTAAAAAAAAAAAAAAAAAAAAAGAAAGTGTTTTACTGCATGCTTTATCTAAGAAATTGAAGTTCTTGCCTGATATCCTCAAAAATCACTAAATAATGAATGTCAAAATGTTTTTATGGATCAAAAAATTATGAAGCATGCCAGTGTGGTTACATAATGAATGAATACAACAGGAGGAGAAAAGAAAAGCCTTATGAGAATCGTTCTTACCAGGTACACATCCAAAAGTCATCGACTCCGTTAAGCAAACACCACCGACATGATTATTCCCCCGAGGACAAATGCAAAATTTACTCCCATACAGTTCATTTTCATAAGCGTCAAGTATGGCAGGCCGACTCCGTTAAGCAAACACCACCGACATCATTATTCCCACGAGGACAAATGCAAAATTTACTCCCATCATTTTCATAAGCGTCTGGTATGGCAGCCTTTTTCATTTTGTCGAAGAAATGGAAGTTAAATTCTGGAGCACCTTCATAAAAAAGTTGAAGATTCTTTCTTACATCTGAGTTAAGAGAACCAGCCCAGAAACCGAGTTTAGTCCTGCAATATTTGCCCCAGAAGCTTTGCTGAAGCAGAACTGATTCTATGAGAAGATTCAAATATCAAATCATAAATCGAAATTCAAGTTGTATAACAAGGGTTAACCACTCCAGTCTATACGATCATTGCTTAAGGATGCGACTACCAAGTCAAAAAGCCTGCCTAAAAGCCATGTGGAACTTGGGAAGCTTTAGTGCCAGATTTTACTGTGTTCAGATGAGCCAAAAGCTTTCACAGAAAGTTAAATTTGTTTTTTCCACTACCTGCGAGGGAGCATCATCTCTGGGTAAATCATTAAAGGGCGAGACATCGCAGTTGACCTGGCAAGTTGCAGCAGGTTTCTAAAGTTAAGTTCATGGAAAATCACAGTACTTCAAGATATACAAGGTTTTAAACCATAAAAGATTACCTGCTACACACGTCGTCTCCATCATGAAGAGAGAGCTCTAATGTCTGCGGGAGGGAAATATCCTTGTGCGGAATATACTTGGAGTCATAACTTGGTGAACAAACAAGTCGAATTACATTCTTCATGAGCAGTGGAACTTCTTCAATAGTCCCGCTGTCAATGTCATGGCAACTGAAATAGAAATGATCAGCACCTAAAGTCCTATTCCAGTAAGGGTATGAGGAAATCAAGCTCTTGACATAATTCTCGATATCCTTCTCCTCCTGCATTGAAAAATTATATATGTTGAAGTTAAATGCACCACCATTGCCGAATTATAAAGAATCAATTCATTCATCATTCGGACCTAATTGCATTACTAGACATATTGCTTACATTCAATTACAGAGATTAAATTTAAATAATTACTTGTGTTTCAAGTACGTACCCTGCCTCCCGTTTTCTTACAAGACAAGAGAATCAGGAAGAGATGAGCCACAGTAGGATCATCTGTGAAGAACAAACTGGGTATCAGATTCTTCAAGAAGTAATGTTCACTTGCATATTTTCTCTTGAGCTTGTCTCTTGGATCATAACACGTTGTAGGGTCTCTCCCTGGGTACACAAAGACCTTAAAATCGCTCTCCATTGTCGCATAATTTGGCAAGAAGAAGTCTTCTCTGTGATAAATGCTACCAATCAAATTGCCCTTAAACAACATAAGAGGAGAGGAAGAAAAAACTGAGGAATTAAACTAACTGAAACGCCCTTTGAGACCCAAAAAGTAGAACAAAGTGAAGAGGAAAAAGAAAAAGCAAGTGATCCCAGAAGAACCTTAAATCGGAAGAAAGGGAATGATAACTTACGAGTGCGAAAGACCTCATGAGGAAGAGAACCTGTCTCCCTAAACTATAAAATGAGCATTAACATATCAGAACAACAACATCAAGGGCAATGAAACAGCAACAAGAATCCAAGAAAGTAAAGAACTTGGCCTTTAAAAAACAAAAAATGAGCAGAAATAAAACAAGTAGGTGTAACTAAAGAGCACAGGGAAGAGTGGAAAGAAAGAGAATACCAGGGGAGATCTCTGGAGCAGAATGATCTGGCTCACGATAAAGACTATGCCCAAAGTAACGGGAATAATTTGCTTAATATTTCTTCTAGCCGTCCATATGTTGATGGGGCGGGGATTGGCGTATGGTCTCATCATTTTCTTGAGAGATAGCTGGGAATTCAAGTTTTCTTGGAGAGAAGAGACTGAGACTGAGAGGTGGTCTAAAAGAAAGAAACAACTAATTGTGGCGGTTGAAGGGAGGGAACGAATGCTTCAAGTAACTAATTCTGTTATTTCTGGTACTCCTCCTCCTGCTACTAAGGCCTACAAAATTTCATTTTTTTTTTTTTTGCCTCTTCGTCAAAATTGTTCAACCTAGTTCCATGCTTCTATTTGATAGTTAAATATTAAAAACTTAGTGAAGTATATTTGTTTAGATAAGCTTTTTTTCTGAGATTTCCTTAATAAATATAAGATGATGATTATAGTCGGACGATCCTTGATGAAATTATACTACGAGTTTGTCAAGTAGATCAAGCTTTTAAGGAGTTTAAATATTAGAAGAATGGAACAGATTGCAACGATAATTATGAACAGACCCCTTTGTGAGGTCGAACATGGCAAAATTCCAATTTAGTCTTTGATTTATAAAAATAAAGGTTAAGTCCTTGAATTATGAAAAATTATGATTTGATTGCTGAATGGAACAAACAATTTTCAAGTAAAATTTATTGATGATTGATTATCAAGTTTCATTTCTATGGTTTGTGTTTGGAATTAATTCTATTTTACGTTTTAATATGTTTAGGTATTTCAGGAGCATCACATATAATTTATTTTGTTTAAATATGTTGAGATATTTCTAGATTACTATACCGCTGAAAGTAATATTCAAATATCTATAACAATTTTTCTTAAAGATAATTTTGGAGTGAATCTGAGTATTTCTAAATAGAAGATAAAGAAGGGATATATTTCTGTAGATAACATTTGGTATTTTTTATTTTTAAAATATCACTGTAAAAAACTCCTCATTCTAAAGTTATCTAAATAAGACATGTAAGAATAAATGTAAAACAGTGAAAATGAACTTGTACAAAGAGAAATTTATTAAAACTAAAATTTTAATATATATATATAGAGATAACACAAATATATAATAACAATAACAATAATAATTAGTATGGAAGTAAAAAAAAAGCTCAAATTGTGAAAAAAAATAAAAATAAAGATCAAAATGTAATTAAAAAGAAATAGAACTATAAATACCTCATTTCTTCTTCCTCACCAAGATAGAAAACACATCAAAAGGGGGGGGGGGATTTTTAGAGTTTCCAATCAAATTTAACAGAGAAAACACTAAGATTTAACAAGTTACAAGTCCTAGACAAGTCTATAGAAAAAAAACATTATTTATATAAGACAAATTACAGGAAACAAGAGTAGAAATTAAAAAAAAAAAAAGGGGTGAGCGGCAAGATATATGCAAGGAGGAAGGAGCCAAGATTTTCCAAATTATTAAGAATGTTTTCCAAATTATTAAGAATTAAAGCTTAGATTTTTTCCAACTGCGCAATTTTCTTGAATTGAGAATTAGGATTCTTGAACTTAAATTAAAATTTGGTACATTCTTGAAATTGCACAATATGGTACATTCTGATGCTCAAACACCCTAATTTTCTTCAATCAACAATCTCAAACAAGAATTTTATTGTTTCTTGTCACACAGGCAAACCAAACCAGTCTTCTTTTATGCACCCATACGGATAATACACCTCAGGCCAGCTCCACTAAGGATGTACTCGAAAGCCTTGTTGATTTCTGAGAAAGTTTAACGATGTTCGTATCAGTAACTAACTGATGGAGTGAATTCTGAACTCTGTGCACCAATATGAAATTTGGAGTTCATTCCGGACAAACCTTGCTGTATCTTCTGCCGCTCGGTAATGGGTTCCGTACAGCATTCTGTTTCTGACCAGACCAAATTTGGCCAGGCCTAATTTCCCTTTAGGTTCATTGGAACAGAGTAATCTCTAGAACCAGAAGTGAAAATGCCAATCTGGCCTGGCTTCAGGATTTTTTTTCAATGTTTTCGTATCCATAGCACCGTGAAAGACAAACTGAAAGGGAACACAAAAAGCACTGAAAAAGTACAAGTGAAATTTTGATTTACATATACACGCCGGAAATGGGCTATTTTATATTTTTTCGGATCTGCAATGGAAGAAATTACACACTGTTTTATCAAAAACTCTGACACTCAAACACACGAACTTTCTTTAATCAACAATCTCAAACAAGAATTTTATTGCTTCCTGTCATACCCAGGCAAACCAAACCACTCTTCTTTTATGCACCCATACGGATAATACACCTCAGGCCAGCTCCACTAAGCATGTACTCGAAAGCCTTGTTGATTTCTGAGAAAGGGACTTCATGGGTGATGAATTTCTCTAGCTCCAGCTCCTGTCACATTACAACTAGATTGGTTAACAGTGCAGGAGGTTGCATCAAAATAAAAAGAAGGAATAAATACTGATTTCTTTCCCATGACAGAAGTTTCAAAATTCAATGCAATTGCATTAGCATTGCACTACCAAAGAAGGTTAAGGATTTTCATTTTCATAATGTAAAGATGATAATTTAAGTTGATGTCTTGACCGCTTTTATCTTTAAGTTCCCTCTAAGAAATACCCACAGAGCCATAATGCTAGTCTACTACACGTGTAAGGATGGAAATGCATGTTCATAATGCATGCTGGATAAGATTAATGGGAACTCAGATTTACCTTGTTCATGTACTTCTCGACAACAGAAGGAAGGTCGGAGCGCGGTTTGTAGTTGCCGAAGAAAGTACCCTTGAGAGTCTTCTCATTCAGGACATTCATTGGATGGGTTTTGAAAGAATCATCTTTGTTCGGCACACCAACAAGTACAGCAACGCCCCATCCATCATGGACGCATTCAAATGCAGAAATCATGGCATTGATGCTTCCAGTGCACTCGACACTTCGATCAACTCCTCCATTGGTCATTTCAGCTATCACCTAAACACAGTAAATCAAAATTAGGACAGACGTGAAGGATTCGCCGATGCTGGTGGCCCAAAACACGATTCACCGTGTCACCTGCCTCTTGAACAGGCTTGTCATGATCTTTTGGGTTCACAAGCTCAGAGACACCAAACTTCTTGGCTGTTGAAAAAACTCAAATGAACATCAGGGAGCAATTATTATCAACAAGAATCAACATTAAGGCTACTTCAATCTATCAGTTTTGTTGTGATATTTGCTATTAGACAGAGCAAAGCATCAATCAATAATTTAAGAGAAATGCGCGGCAGCCACAATGAACAACATTACAGCTTCTCTCACCTTCATCGAATCTTTTGGAATTCAAATCGACACCAATGATTCTTGAAGCACCAGCAATCCGAGCCCCTTCAGCAGCCTAGATTAGGAAAAAGCAACAAAAACAAGACCTGCATTAGCACTACCAGCAGCTTGAACAGAAGAAAATTATCATGCACCTACCAGAATAAACAAACTCACCGCAAGGCCTACGGCTCCTAGTCCGAAAATGGCTACCGAAGAGCCTTTCTTTGGTTTTGCAACATTCAAGGTGGCACCAAGACCTACAAGTCAAAAAAAGAAATCACCATTACAAGAACGCAACAAATCGCCCGTTCAATGATTTTTATCAAATCGCGTAGTTCTCCCAACCTGTAGAGATTCCACAGCTGAGAACACAAACTTTGTCAAGAGGAGCAGCAGGATTGATCTTGGCAACACAGCCAGCATGAACCACAGTGTACTCACTAAAGGTTGAGGTGCCAACAAAATGGTAAATGGGCTGCCCTCTGATCGAAAACCTTGACTTGCCATCATTCAGCATCACACCCCTGTCAGTGTTAATCCTAAGAAGATCACACATATTACTCTCTTCTGATTTGCAATGTCGGCATTCAAGATCGCACATATTACTCTCTTCTGATTTGCAGTGTCGGCATTCCTTACACTCTCCTGTGAAGACAGGAAGCACATGGTCACCAGGTTTGAGGTCTGTCACACCCTCCCCGGCACTCTCAACAATCCTAAAAGCCAGGAGGATAAAAAATCAAATTAGTCAACTCAATTCATCACCATCACAACAGCCAAAACCACCATCTAATCATGACCAGTAATGGATTAATGGTTCAAATTCATACCCTCCTGCTTCATGACCAAATATTCGAGGAAACAATGGGGTTTGACCCTGCAATTTGACAGACCATTTTCGTAAGCATAAGTCTCTACTAGTATAACTTATAAAAAGACCAATGAGCAGACATAATAATCACAATTGAAAATGCAGTCACCTTGGCTTCCCAGAAGTAAACATCAGTGTGGCAGAGGGAGGTAAAGAGGATCTTCAAACGAACCTCCATAGCTTGAGGAGGAGCCACCTCCACTTCTTCTATTACCAGTGGCTTCCCAGCTTCCCATGCCACAGCAGCTATAGATTAAGCAAAATGCATCCAGTCATTGCCAGACGTAAATGAGAAATCCAAAAACACAAAATGATAACAGCACAAAGAACAAATCACAGACCCCACAAGGAATCATGAACTTTTTTGGTTACCTTTGCAACATATGACTTGACCAGCAGTGCTTGACATTTTTTTTTTTTGTCTTAAACGAACTTTAGATCCTTCTCTAAGGCTTCTTTGATTACTTTGCTCTGTTTCTTGAGTTGTGACGAGACAGGGTTCTCATTGTAGGTATTTATAGTTTTAGAAGCATTATGTTGACCATAAATTTGAATATTTTTTAAAAGAAAACCATTTACGATCACTGCTGTTTCATTAGCCCTCTGTATTCTCTCTCTTGTTTGCAACAACGGCTCCTCCTGTTTGTGCTCTGGCCTTCTTGTTGTGTCTGGTTTTGGCGAACTACAAACCAGTACTCAAACTACTCTATACCTTTTAATGCAATCAGCAAAAACAATCTTATTTTGTCTGAGTTCACAAATTCTCAAACTCTCAAGTGTCAAACTATAAATATTCAATTCATTCCACCATTAACATGTATGCCAACAATATTTGCAACAGCCAAGCATTTTCTTAAGCTTAGAAATTTCAGTCATGCTCAAAATATTAGGAAAGAAAATCACAAAACAAATGTTCCTGCCAAGCACCTTCTTGGTTTACTTGGTAACTAGTTGTGGATTTCTTAGATTGAGAGAGCAAGAGAGAGATAAAAGGGAGATATTTTGTGTTTCTTTTGTACGGGTAGATTTGTTAAAGAGGTCGGAAACCACACTAATCTTGCAACGAGCACTAATCTTGCAACTAGCACCAACGGTGGGGTGGGGGTGGTGGCAACTGGCAAGTAGCTACGTGAGAATGCTGTGGGGGGAAGAAGGATTGTTGGGAGTTGTGGGTGGTAAAGATCTACTTAGGTTTTGTTTTTGGGTTGTTGATGAGGATTTATTGCTAATATCTAAATTTACTAGGTTTTTTTGATTTGATTGATAACTAGTTGTTGATTTATTAGATAGTCTATACCTACTTTTTTTGTTGGGTATTTTGATTTGGGGTTTAATATTGAGAAAATAAGTGATTTAATTATGATTAACTTCTATACTTTAATATATATTAGGATATTATTGTTTTTTTTAGTTGATTTTCAAAATCTGTTTGGACTAAGATTGCAAAATATAATATTAAAAAACTTGGTTGTAAAATAAAAAAATAATCAAACCATAGTGTCACGACCCGAATCCCGGATCCATGACCAGCACATAGGCAAGGTTCCCCTCCAAGGTTCCGTACCTATGCGAACCCAAACGTACATACAAATAGGCCATAACAAGAATATCATATGGTAAAATCGTCAGAAAATCAAAATGCAATGAGCATGAGGCTCCGTACTGTGGGATGATCAGTCCACACAGGTTGGTGACTCCCCCGACCAACTAGGGTTCAGATACGATGTGCACAAAGACTAACATTACCCTGTTAGCATGGGTATTCTGACTGACATACCATAGGGTCATAATCATAATCAAACAGACATATTTATATCTCAAGGCTCAACTCATGACATCAATCAAATGAGGAGCTATCAATTCATAAGTCAATCCAAAATACATACTGGTTCATATCAAGAATTCGGATTCAACGAATGATCATGCTTATCATAACAAGGATATTAGTCACCAAATATATTACCAAGAAGCATGATCCAATTCATATTAACAAATCAAATATTTATAATATTTCTCATGCATATGGAAAATTATCCACTCACCTGACTCGAAAGCAAACAGAAATCAAAAGCAAACACCGAAGAAAATCCTACTGACGTCCTGCCGGTAGAATATCAGGATTATCTGAATACAAAGGAGACATATTCAAGAATGACTCAAAAGAACATATAACCTATTTAATACACTTAACTAAGGGTCTATTTCATAACCCTATATGTATTTAGACTAAACTAGTTATTTTCCTAAAAATCAAAAAATTAACGATTTTCTCGAAATCTAATCCATAATAAAACACATAATAACATTGGTAATACTTCACTAACTAACCCTAAATTATTCATCAAACCAATCTGAAAAAGCTAATATTACAGCTAGGGACTAATCTGTAATTTATTATATTTTTAAGGGTCAAATTGTAAATTTATTCATTTGGAGGACCAAACTAAAATTATCAACTTAATCCATTTGGAATTTATTATATTTTTAAGGGTCAAATTGTAACTTAATCCATTTGGAAGACCAAACTAAACTTATCATAAATCCATGAATATACTGAAATTCTGACCATAACCAATCCTCATTTCTGTCCAGATCATCTCATTATACTCCAGGGACCATTCTGGAATTTTATCAAATTTTTAGGGTTAAATGGTAATTTTTGATTTTTAGGGCTAAATGGTAATTTTTGTCAAATTGAAGGACCAAATTGAAAGTGTTAAAATTTCATAACTATACAGGAATTCTGCCCATAATTTATCTTTTATTCTGTTCAGAATCTCGGAATATGCCCCAGGGACCAATTTTCCAAAGTTTGGAGACTAAACTATAATTTTCTTGTAAATTTTCCAAAGTTTGTGGACTAAACTGTAATTTCCACAAATTGAAGGACCAAAATGAATTTTCGTCATCTTCAACCTCCAACCCAGAATTTCAACAGAAACCCACTGTTCTTTCCTTATTTCTAACATAATTTCACCATTCAAACAAAATCATAACTCAAAATCATCATCTTTCAATTCAATCTCTCAAAATCCACCAAATAATCCATTACCCATAACAATCAACCCATAAAATTCAATTAATTCATCAATCAAACCCAAAACACAAATTTTCAAAACCCTAACATTTATCAAAACCAAAATTAAAACTTAATCAACACATATTTATATATAATCTTACCTTTAAACTTATTTCCTTCAACTCCTTTCTATTTTTCTTCTAATTTCTCTCTTTTCTCTTCTTCTTCTTTCTCCTTTCTTTCTCCTGCCGATTCTCTCTAATTTCAGATCATTTATTTTGTTTTGTTTTTTTTTTTTTTTACTTTCTATTTATATTTATCAAGTTTTGTTGAATTACTACACTACCCCTCATTCATTTATACCTACACTTTAAGCCACCAAGCATTCATTTATAATATTTATCAAGTTTTGTTGAATTACTACACTACCCCTCATTCATTTATACCTACACTTTAAGCCACCAAGAGCTTTATTGTATTTTCCTACTTATTTATTCAAAACATTACACATAGAATGCTCAAAACAATTTACTTGTAATTAAGGACTATACTTGTAATAAAAAAAAAATATTTAAATGAATCATGGTCGGTCACTAAAGACTTTTACTTTTCAGGATATCTACCATGTGGTTTCAAATTTCTTGAGAGAATTATGAGTTTTTCTTGATAAATTACATTGTTTAGATTGAAAATAAATGATATTGTATTGATCACTTTGAGGCTGTTGTTATTGCGTTATAAGCAATGATTTTAAAGATTTTGGAAATAATTCTTCAGGTTTAAAATCATTTTTTTATATATGAAAAATATTTTAAAAATAAAAAATATTATTCTAATATATTTTCAAATAAAAATATATTTAAAAATAATATTTATTACTTTTACTATGATGTTCATGGCTTTTACCAATTTGCACCACGTAAGCTGAGTGATTCGCAGGGTAACATTTTGAGGCTTTAATAATTTTTTTTTTTAATTCAACTTAATTAGAACCTAAAACCGGACTCAGAACAGACCTTAGATTGCAAATTTACTATGCCCGTAGTCAAGGTTTAATAACTGTACTAATCTCAGACCTTAGATTGCAAAGAACCAGGTGCTTAAAACTTGAAATCCTCATTGAAGGAAAAAAACTTAAACAGAAACAATGAGAAAATGTATTGAAATCCCCATTTTTGACAAGAAACGGGAGTAAAGAATAAATGAGCCTTATGATCATCATCAGTGCTCAAACATGAAGAAGTAATGTTCGCTTGCATATTTGCTCTTGAGCTTGTGATCAGTTGAGTGATAACATGTTGATGCGTTTGCACCAGGGTACACAAACACCTTAAAATCCCTCTCCATTGCTGCATAATTCCGCAAGAAAGATGCTTCTCTTTGATAGATGTCACCATCTTGAATGGAAGCTTCTCATCTAGACGCTTCGTTTCGGTTCTTTTAAACTCGAAAAACAATAAAAAGATTATTAAAAAGGAGGTAAAAAGAGGGGAAGATAGTAGAAAAGATAACAAGAAAATGATCAGAACAGGAACAAGAAATGGCAAGAAAGTCAAAAAGCAAGTGGTGTTACTTGTTAAAGAAAAAGCTGATCACAAAGATGAACAGAGAAAAGATTACGACAGCTAAAAGGGCAATTCCTACGATACTACAGCGGCAAAAAGAGCAAATCTTAAGATAAAGGATTAAGACAGCAAGAAGGACTGCTGCTAGAAAATTCATGTTTTCAGGGCCATGATTAGCGGTTTGTTGGGCATCAATGGCTTCTTCGTGGGGATCTTGTGCAGCGTGTTGGTCGACTTCAATGCCTCCTTGGGGATCATCAGTCTGATGGACATGAATGGCTTCATCACGGGGATCATGTGCAGCTTGTATTTCGCCGTCATTGCTGCCTCCTTCTTGGGGATCGGCAGTTTGATGGACATGAATGGCTTCTTCTTGGTGATGAAGTGCAGCGTGTTGGTGGACGTCCCTGCCTCCTCCTTGGAGACCATCATCAGTTTTTTGGACAACAATGGCTTCTTCTTGGTGGTCATGTGCATCGTGTTGGTGGACGTCACGGCCTCCTCCTTGGGGATCTTCTGAGGATTGGTTGTTAACGCTGCTGTCTTCAGAATCATCCGAGGATTGGTTCACAATGAAATGAACTTCTTCTTGGAGATCGTCCGAGGGATAATCGGAGGGTAGCTCTTCAACGACAAAGTTATTTATACCTTCTCCTTCGGAATCGTCTGAGCTCGGGTCGTACATTGGGAGGTGGTGGTTGAAACCGTTTGAGAGATTCTGCATTTGGTGGTGGTTGAAACCGTTTCCGTTGTTCCTTTCTTGAATATTCCTTTCTTTCTTTAGAGCTGGCTAGAGGAAAGGAGAGAAAAGGAGAGGAGATTCTTTGTTGTTTAGTCGAAAGAGGAGGATGAGAGGTCGAAAGGGGAAGCCTCAGATTATATAGCCAGCTAACTACTTATAATTTCTTGATTAAGTCCTGAGATTATTGATTTTACCAATTAGGTCCCTATCTATCTCCTTTCCTAAAACTGTTCCTCGTGCTAAAATAATTAGAGATGGTGCTGAACAGTGAAAATGATAACTGTTTTGACAGAAGGATCAGATTGATGAAAGGTAGGTAGTTGAGGGACTAATACGAGGGAAATAAATTAATATCTGCAGTGTTGTTTTGGCGGTTAGAGAGAGGGAGGGACTAAACGTTATAACTAACTAATATTTCAGTTAGTGTTAGTTATTCCTTCTGGCAACTTTTGCCACGTCACAAGCAGTGGTTTGCTCACAACACAAAATTGAATTATTCAGTTTTTTTAAATATAAAATATTGTTTCTAAATTCTATATATATATATATATATATATATAAACTAGACATGTTGGGCTTCAATATATCTTTAAATTACATTAAAATATTTTTTTGTTAAACTTTTTATATATTCATGTACTTGAATTTTCATTTTTAAGTTTGAATTATCTATTTATCTAACATGGAATATTAAAAAAATAATCATTTTTAGTCTTATAACTAAAAAGTAAACCCCAAAACAAAAAATTCAAACTTTATGTATCATTTTAAAAAGAAATATAAATGATAAGATCAATTGTTATATGTTAAAACTCTCAAATTAATTATAAAGAGATATTCAAAATATTTAATTTTTATTTATTAAATTCTTTGCTAAAATAATAGTTTATTTGTCTAAATAAATTCCTAATCAGAATAATTCTTAAACTAAATAATAAAGAAATAAATATGGAAAACTTCTGTATTAGTCTATTTGTCTTCACTTCAAGTATATTAAAATTCTAAATACCAACTTCAGTCTCTTTATATAAAAAACATAAACTATTAAATTATTTCTCTTTCTTTTATCTTATATAGTAATGAATTGCAAACATTAACCTTTGTTTTTATTAATATTTGTTATATCTATATAATCCTTCAGCTAATCTACTTTTGTAAAGCTGAATTATCAATTATTGGATAATATATTGCAAAATAGCTAGCCATGCCCAAAATAATATGGGTCTGATAAATACACTCGTTCTAAAGAGTTTGGACATGATAGTTAGCCAAATCTAAGATAATACATATTTGCTAAATATGCTCAAAATCATCTTGCATAATGGGGTTAATTACATCAATATGAAAAATATATTCATAACATAAAAAATATTAAATGTTACTATTTCTCCAACAAGCTTAAAAATAAAACTCCCTTGTACACATTGAACTTAGTTCTTGTTGTTTTCATAAATGTATGCCTAATAATACACAAGTTGAATTTAAAGCAAATTCATTATCCATGTCTATAATGTAAAAATTCATAGGAAAAATCAATTCATTTACTCTAATTAAAACATTCTCATCAACGCTTTTAGGGTATGAATTAAACCTATCTACTTATTGAATTATTACCCTTGTTTTCTTTAAAAGTTTTAAATTCAAATCCTTGTAAATTGAAAGTGACATAACATTGATTGATACTCCTAAATCAAGCATAGCTTTTTCTATCTTATGATTTTCAATTATATATGGTATAGTGAACATACCTGGGTTTTTGCATTTCTAAAGCAATTTTCTTCGTATGATTATGGATACATTATTTCCAATTCTTATTTTCTCAATAATGTTGAACTTTTTTTAGTTGGTGTACAATTCATTGAAAAATTTTGTATACGGTGGAATTTGCTTGATTGCATCTAACAATGAAATATTACCTTTAACCTTCTAAAAGATTTAAAAAATATCATGCTCTATTTCTTTCTTCCTCGCTTTCGCTAATCTACTAGGAAATGAAGGTGTAACTAGATTCTTAGTAATAAGAAAGATGATTTTATTACTTACCTCATCAGTTAATGCATCTATAGTTTCAACGGCTGTATATTTTACTCCCTCATTGCTATTCTCAGTTGCTATTAAACTTGACGTTGAATCTAATATGGTAGTCTGCACCATGGTTGCTGTTGAATCTAGTACGGTGGTCTCGGTTCATATTGAATTTGATGTTGTGGTCTGCACCTTAGTTATACTATAATATGAAATTGAAGCTGACAATTAGGTTAGCACTTCCTTTCCATTTCTAAAAGTCATAACACTTGTGCTTTCTCTTGGGTTAATCTCAACTTGGGATGATAATTATTTTTTTTATTAGCTTTAATACTCCTCTTAGACAATGTAAGTTAAAAAATCTAAACCAAATAAAACAGGTTTGATAAACACATCAAACCTAAAGAGCTTGGGCTTGACAATTAGCCAAACTCAAGATAGCATGAGTCTCATAAACATGCTAGACCTAAAAAGTTTGATATGACAGTTAACCAAGTCCAAAATAGTAAATGTATTTATTACTTTGCAAGAAAACAAGAATCTTGTTTATAGTAGATAGACAAAAAAAAGTGGTATTTGCTAGCAACAATATAATAGAGGCAATCAATCAATATGGATTAACCTAAAATCTTATTCAAATCCAATAGGTACATAAAAAATGTATTGAATTGATTTTTTTAAATGAATATATCTAATTGCAACTTCGAATATGGAATTCAAAAGGATCAAATAGAAAATGATACTTTAAATGATAGAACTCTAATGAAATATGCAATCAACTAACATGTATTGAATTTGAAACAGAGTCAAAATAAATGATTTGATCGTTTTATTTTTGTTTGTTGAACTAAGAGATCGATGAATTGGGATCCTAGTTCATGCAGATACAAATGGTCTAACGAGAGAAAGAATTTTTAGGAACATTTCATTTATGAGTAGAAGAGCATTTTTTTTTCAAGTAGTGTTTGATTGATTTTGTATTAATCAATATTAGATTGATTGGTCTGAGGTTATCGAAAAAAAGATTTATCAAAGTCACTTTCTTTTTTTTTTTGTCCAGTTACTTCTTTTTTTGTCCAAGTTTCTTCTCTTTTTGTCTAGCTCACTTTTTTTTTTTTATGAGTTTCAGGAATATTCCTATTTATAAGTTCAAGATCCATATTTATAAGTTGAAAAGGTCCGGATGATCATCTTTGTAATCAATTGTTAGAACCAATAGGTCTTCAAATCATTCATTTGAAAAAAATAGAAACCTTTTTTATTTGATGATCATGCATGATACTTCTCAAAAATAAAAAAAAATTATCAATGAAGGAACAATATTATCATTTTGTTCAATAAGATACCAAAGTGGATGATTCACTCAATCTATACTAAAAATAATTGTAGGAAATCTTTTGATAACACGAATTCTTCTTTCTCATTAATATCTCACAATCAAGACAATTGACTAAATCTCGTATAACCATTTCATAGAAATTCATTGATATCTCTTTTTATAAAACAAATCAACTTTGATTCTTAAATAATTTATATTATTTGTGCTTTTATTGTAACAAAAGATTTCTTTGTTACATGGAGAAAACTCATTTCAAGAATTATGATTTTATATATGGATAATTTCTCATTCTCATGTTCATTCTCAACAAAATATTTTCTTTGTATAGTGGTAAAAAAACATTTTTTTGAAGAAAAATACTATTTCACTAATTAAGTCACATGTATCTAACATATTTATAACTAATGATTTTCTAACATATTTATACCTAATGATTTTCAACGAAGTGGTAATGAAGGCTTGCAAACAGGATATTATTAGTGCAGTGGTTTCTTAACTTCAATGAAAGAGCAATATTAGGCAGTAAACGTATTTAATACTCTGCAAAGAAAACAATCTTGCAAGGCAGGAATACAGAGAACCTTAGAATTATACACTGCACCTTAGAACTACAGAAGAAATTTGAGTTATACACAACATTTTTCTGAGAATTGAAAAGGCAAAGGTTCATCTTTGCGGTACGAAGATTCCGTTGGAAATGCAAAGGTTCGTTCATCTTGAAGTTCCTCTCCCTTTCCTCATAATCTAGACCGAAAGCCTCAGGGAACGTTCAAGATTTAATCAAAACTACTGAATTTCACCTTGGTGGATACCACTTTCTGAAGTTCCAAAATTTAAGCACGTGTGGATACAATAGAACAACATTTTGAGAGAGAAACTCATATGACACCGATTTGAAAAGTAGCAACTGTGGCATATCATATGTCAATATTTGAGAAATACAGAAGCAATTCGAGTGATATTATACATCATATCTATGTCAATATTTGAGAAATTGAATGGAGAGAGAATTAAGGTTCATCTTTATGGAACGAAAGTTGCAGCAACTCAGTCAGTAATACTTGGTAAAATGGTTGCGCAGCCACAAGTCATACAGGGTCATATGAAACGCGTCATATTTGGCTGGAACTAGATTCCACTGAAAGTGCTTACGGACCTGATAAAGTTGTAGGGAACTAAAGCAATCAGGCAGCAGACAATGAAGGTTTAATACATTCAAAGAGAGCAATATAAAGGAAACTAATCTTCAGAAGCATTTTCAAGAGAAAATTTCACAAACAATTGGTGAGAAGAAACAAAAAAAAAGTACCATGACGGTGTTGGTCTGCACTGCTCGATATTCATGCTCTAACATCTCCTCAAGGTGTTCCCTTAGGTAATAGACTCGACTTTCCTCGAGTATTATGGAGAATTTCCTCCAGTCAAGAAAGTCTTTGAATGGTAAATCATAGTAGTCAGACATGATAACTGCACAAAGTTACAGTCTTCTAAGAAAACAACCGGCAACAAAAAGCTTAAAGATACAACACTAGAGAATTTAGTCAAGAGAAGGTATGAAAGAAGAACTGTCTATCACCTGGAACACATCCATAATGAATTGCTAATGCTATAGTACGATCGAGCTCTGGGCCTCCAGTACAAATGCAATACTTAGAGTTATTGAAAGCCTCATGGTACACCAAATCTCCTTCTTCTAAACTAGGTTTCCTTCCTTTCTGTATGAAAAGTTCTAAATCATTCTCCCAAGCCCCAAGCAGCTTCTGCCTTGTATCAGAATTATTGAGACCTCTCCAGAAAGCTAGAGTAATCCTGCAACATATAAGACATGGTAAATGATATGAAATTCTAAAGTTACACACGCACACACACATCCCTTATAAGATAGAATTCATTAGGTAAAAAATAAAAATTTTCAGCAGAGTATACCAAGTTACCTGTTCGTTATGTTATTTCCAGCAGGAGTAAGAACAAGTGGCGGCACGCGTTGTGGGAGGGAAACATCCTTATGAGGAACATATTCATCATTATAACTTGGAGTACACATGACTTTAATTGAGTTCTTCATAAGATTAGTAATTCGTGCAGCATCAGTCACATTAATGTCTGCGCAAGTTATGAAGAAGTGATCAGCACCTAAAGTTCTGTTCCAATAAGGATACTTGGAAATGAGGCTCTTGACAAAATCCTCAACAGCAATAGCCCTTTCATCTTCTGATCTCTAAAAATAACATCATCAACGTAGTATCAATGCATTAGAACAGTGACTTTCTAAAATCTCTTGTTCACTATAATGCAAAAAGAAATTGTGATCAATAACTTTTATTTCCTCTAAAGGTCAAACCCTTCATTGAAGTAGTTAACTATCACATCCCCACAAATCTTTAGAACTTTTCATGCACAGCAATTGCAAGGATCCGTGTAGAATTCAACTATAACATCAATATCAGTAAAGATTATACCCCTGCAGGCAGTGAATGACAAGAAATAGGAATGAGGAAGAGGTGAGCCTTCTCAGGATCTTTGGTCAAGAGGCGACTCAATTGAGATTCAGATAGAACAATCCTTCATTCCCATACTCGCCATCAAGCATCTTTGGATTACTACAGGAACTAGTATTATGTGGATACACGAAGATCGTGAATTTCCTCTCCATTTCCTCATAATCAGGATCAAAAGCCTCAGGAAAGTGAAAGACTTCGCCAAAAAATCCAGCTTCTTGAGCATAAGCTTGAAAAGATCCCTACATCAAAAACAATATGCATGAAAAAGGGTTCAAAAGTGAAAGAAAATGAGCGGTGAAAGAAACAAGATACAGTGCCAGTAATCCTTAATTAAAGAACTGAAGTTGACTAATGGAAAAGGAACAGAACTCGCATTCAAGAAGGTGGGAATATTGGTTCATAAATGGAAAATTGCATGAGAAGAAATAATACTGAAAGAAAGTGAGCGCACCTGAGAAGGTGGGAATCCAGGTGGATAGATGGAGAAGCAGATGGAAACAATAACAAAAAAACGGGCAAGCCCTCCTCGTTTGAGATTCTTCATAGCCTTTTCAGGGAGAAAGGAAGAGAGAAAATGACTTTTACTTTGAGAGAGGGGGTGGTTGTGTCAGTTAGTTTAAAATAAAATACTCCCTCTGGCCTCTAGTTAGTTAAGTAGGGGAACTCTGGGAGTAGCTTTACTTATTTTACTGATCCATAAAATCATTTATAAATTCTCATTTAGTTAAAACAAAAAAATGTTGCTTGTGTAGGTCACGGGCTTGTAAAAGGCATCTGGTAGGGAGGGGTATCGCCCAAGGAAAGTGCATTAATCCCCAGGATTTCCCCAATCTGGGAAGTCAAAATGATAAATCTCGATTATTCAATAAAATAAAAACATGGTCTGGATTAAGTCAGTAGGCTAAATTAAGGAAAATTCAAAAAACAGATTATCACAAATTTAAGCCCTGAAAAGCTACCAAAAATAGTTCAAAAAAAAAAAATTACAGATCCAGGAAGATGGAGACTTGAACGATGGAATTTGCAGCCTAAAACAAGCGTTGTTGGTTGCCAACGGCGTGCATCCTGGAACAAGCTATCTCAAACAGAATAGGTACCAGTATCCACTATCATGATTGCTCAACCAACGGCGTGCATCCTGGAACAAGCTATCTCAAACAGAATAGGTACCAGTATCCACTATCATGATTGCTCAACCAACGGCGTGCATCCTGGAACAAGCTATCTCAAACAGAATAGGTACCAGTATCCACTATCATGATTGCTCAACCAACGGCGTGCATCCTGGAACAAGCTATCTCAAACAGAATAGGTACCAGTATCCACTATCATGATTGCTTGCAGTGAACTTCTTACTGACCGCCAAACCAAAAAGTTCTATCCTGGGGTCAATTCAACATAACTAGCATGCTGTTATCTAAATTCGGCGCTTCCTTGGGAGGCGGCATCCATTATGCGGACGCCGAGTATTATCTTCTATATGTTTGATAGGACTTAGACCACCCTTACCATAACCTTCTGCAAAGCTGGTGATGGCTAGCCTTTTCTTCTTAAAGTACGTGAAACCATTCACCCTCATCACAAATGATTTCAACCCCAGCTGTCTTGCCGCTTGCCCAACATGTTCTGCAGTTGCTTCAGCAGCATACCGAGAGAGTTTTGCTCCCCCTTGCAGTTTTTGCAACCATCCTGCTGTCATCGAAGCATTTTTCTTTTTATTTCCCTTAGAATCTGTCACTGCAACAAAGGTATTGTTACGTTTTAGCTTCATGAACACAAAATCATCATTCAGCTCAACATGGTACTGAGGAAATCGGGAACCCTCTTGCTCTATTACTCCTCTCACAAAGTCCATTGGCCTGGAATTTCTCCCACCTGCATAGAAGTCAGGCCGGGGACCTCTCTCCATTTCAAAGTCTCTCTGACCAGCAGAGAAGTTCATAGACCTGGGATTTCTCCCCATCTCAAGGTTGGAATTCTGCATGGAACTTCTCCCCATCTCAAAGTCTCTCCGACCTGCAGAGAAGTTCATAGACCTGGGATTTCTCTCCATCTCAAGGTTAGAATTCTGCATGGAACTTCTCTCCATCTCAAAGTCTTCCCGACCTGCAGCAAAGTCTTCGGGGTTGGAATCTCTCCCTGTTTCAAAGTCTTTATGACCCATGGAGTGGATGAAACTTTGAAAACTCAAAGCATATGGAACGGTAACATCTTCCTTGGAAGTCAACAAACCAAAACTCATCCCAAAATGTCCAGAATGCCATGATGCGTGTCTCGCATTTTCTCCTCTGGCAACATCATGAATAGACCAAAAACTACCTCCAAGTCTCTCTAAACAGCCTGCATGATTGAACAACCTTTCAATTGCTTAATAACATCATTAAAAACATGTTGAGCAGTGGAATTCTAAATATGCATCTTTCTAAACTATGTAAGGGTAGCTCATAACATTTTTTTTTTCCCAGCTGTTGCTTCCCCAGAGACCATTTTATGGTCACCAACCCTGTTTTTTCAATCGACCCATAGTTACATAGTTTCCACAAACACTTACTTCAAACACATAGAATCTATGGCATAGATCCAAGGTTAGGGATGCTGTTCAGCCACCAACGATTATCGGATTGGCAGTTGCTTCACACCAACTGTAATCCTTCTTGGGTTCTTTCACTAGACCATTTATCTTCAGTATCCAAACAACTATTTTGGTATCTATTAATTCAAAGTTTTGAGAAGAAAAAAACACAAAATTTCAGTACATGAAATTGCATAATGAAATGAAATAATTTGTGCAAATCAAGATCATTAGGTGATCGCCAATTTGACAAACTAAGGACAGCCCATTTGCTCATCCACATCCGAGGCACTCAAGAACTCTAAATTTTAAGATCAAAGAAGCAAACTTTGGCATAAGAGATCAAATTAAATCTAAATTTAAGATCAATATAACAAATAAAAGAAACCCAAATGAGAATAGCTCAAGGAAAGACTAACTAAATCAGAAACCTTAGCAATCATTTCATACAAAACATTAAGTATCTGCTCCAAGTATACTTCATTAAGACACAATTATGCAAATGATCTGTTCAAATCAAGTAAACCAACAGACTAATTGGGTGGGGAGAGAGAGAGAGAGAGAGAGCTTGAGCTTGAGCTTGCCTGGAGGGGCGGCGTGTCTGGAGATGGAGCTGAAAGTTCCACGAGGAAGTGAAGCAGAAATAGAACCAAGCGCGCTTCGAAGGGGAGATAGAGATTGCATTTCTTTCTTTCCTTCTCTTCGAATTCGTTTTTTTCTGGTGTCCCTGTTCTTGTAGGGTTTTGATGGTTTCAGTGATGAGAGGGAGTCGCTGTTTAATGACGGGCCACCCATTTCATTTTCTTTTCAGGGGTTGGCCCAGCTGTGTCCTTCTCTTCTCTTCCATTTTTTTTTTTCAGGTTTTCATTTTTTTCTCAAAAAAATAAAAAAAAAACCCATTAAAAAACCATTTATTTTCTCTCTCTTAATAAAAATAAATAAATTATGAGTCTAAATTCAAAATAAATAGATGATTTTATTTTTTTAAAATGAAAATTAATAAAATGATATAAAAAGAATTTTATAGAATTTCTTGGTAAACTTAAGTCTCTAAAATGGGAAAAACCTTAACTTAGTCCCAAACCTACATACCTACACTCTCAATTGTATCCCAAACCTGTAATTTTTTTAGTTAGATCCTCAAGGTTTCCTGAATTTCTCAATTGGATCCTTTCATTAATTTCTTTTTATATTTTACCATATGCATCAATCCTTGTGGAAAATAATTTACAAGTTTTGCTGCTATGAAAAAACAGATGAAAATTCACAGCACCGAGGCTGCTCTCATCCAGCAAGGTTCGCATTTCAGAAGATAGGATCAGTAAACAATCTCATTTTCTGGAAGAAAATCTCATCTAATATCTATTTAAAAGGAAAATAGGTGGGATCCAACACATTTCTCAGGCTTATCAAGAGCAATGGCTCATCTTTATGGCTAGTACCGGTACTTGGTAACATGGTGGCGCAGCCACAGGTCATACATGACCATATGAAATGCATCATATTTTACTGGAGATAAGTTCCACTGAAAGTGCTTCTGGACCTGATTCAGTGAATTCAAGAAATTTACAAGCAAAATTTAATACAATTCTCAGAAGCATTTTCCAGAGTGAATTTTACTGACAAGTGAAGTAGATATACCATGAATGTGTGATTCTGCAGAGATTCATATGTTTGCTTTGGTATATCCTGAAGGATTTTCTTTAGCGAATAGACATCTTTCTCCTTCAGTATTACAGAAAATTTCCTCCAATCAAGAATGTCGTTGAATGGTAAATCATAGTAGTCAGATAAGATAACTGCAGAGAGATCCAAATAAAACCATCAAGCTGCAAATTCAGAAAATCCAGTGCTGAGAAGAGATGAAAGAAGAACTGATCTATCACCTGGAATGCACCCATAGTGAATTGCGAATGCTATAAAACCATCAAGCTGAGGGCCTCCAGGACAGATGCAAAACTTAGAATTGTAGAAATCCTCACGGGCTTGCCAATGTCCTTGTTCAATACTAGTAGGCCAATCTCTGGCTTCGATGTAAAGTTCTGAGTCATACTCCCAGGTGAGGTACAGCTGCTCTCTTATATAAGAATCCTCAACACCACTCCAGAAACCCAGCATAGTCCTGAAACATATACATGCTGTTTAGCTTTATGGTAGTTATGTTCCTGGCATGACAGAATTCATCGGGTTAAGAAATAAAAGTTGCCTGTTCTTTTCTATATTTCTGGCTTCAGTATAAGCATATGGCTGCACACTTTGTGGGAGGGAAACATCCTTATGAGGAACATATTTACTATTATAACTAGGAGAACACATGAGTCCAATTGAGTTCTTTAAACGGTCAGCAATTCGTGCAGTAGCAGCCACATCAACTTCTGAGCAGCTTACAAAGAAGTGATCGGCACCTAAAGTTCGGTTCCAGTAAGGGTACTTGGAAATAAGGAAATTGACAAAATCCTGAACAGCAATAGCCCTTTCTTTCTTGGATTTTTCCTGGGCATAGAATTATGAATATCAGAGGCATTGTATAACGAATCAGAGAAGCATGCCAATGTACGGACAGCGATGCTTAAGAAAATGAACTAAGAAAGCAATCTGATACTGCGAAAGAAAATGTAATTAATCTTCTTTTTTCAACTAAATTCATCATCAAAAGTTCAAAAGCCTCCCTATAATTTAATTAGTAATAAAGAAAAACACTACAGCACAAGGAAAACCATCATCACCAAAATTTGTCCATCCAAGATAACTTCTTGTAATCAGAATTCAAGAAACACATCTGCTAAAATCTCTTTTTTAATCATATTGATATACCTCAGGAGACATCGAATGACAATAAATAGGAATGAAGAAAAGGTGAGCCTTTTCAGGATCTTTGGTCAAGAACTGACTGTGATTGAGATTGTGATAGAAGTATCCTTCACCCCTAAAGCAGCCAAGCACCGTTGGCCTATTACAGGCAGTAGAACGCTTGTCTGTGTTATGGGGATACACAAAGATCTTGAAGTTCTTCTCCATTTCCTTATAATCCTTTTTGAAAGCGTCAGGAGTATGGAAGAGTTCAGAAAAGATTTCTGGATCTGTAGCATTTTCTTTCAATGACCGCGCCAGCACCTATATATGAAAAGGCCTAATCTTTAAAGAAAATATAAATGAATAGTGTAGAAAATGCAAGAAAATGAGGGAAAGCACAAGAAGAGAAAATACGAGAAAGCGAGTACCTGAAGAGAACTTGGGAATTGAGGGTGATATATTGAGAAGCAGATTGAAAGAATAACCAAAAAACAGGAAAGTCCTCGTTGAAGATTGTTCATGATGGTTTTTTCTTGGGAAAATTTGAAGAGTGAAACTTGCCAAATATTTTATTAGGCTCGAGGAGTAACAGTGTGAAGGCTTATGGTCTATATATTGTGCTTTTTATCTAGAGAAATGGAGGGGGAGATAGAGAAGAGGATTGGGTTAGAAAGTTAGTTAATTGGAAGGGAGGGAGGGAGGGAAGGAAGGAGGGAAAACAGTGGCAGTTGGATTAGTTAGTTGAAAGATACTCCTTGTAGTCTCTTCCAATCTGCAATGCTGTTAAATTAACTGAACCAAAAGGATGCGCAATGTAACGTTTTGAATTAAAGAGATAAGAAAAGGCTATAAAGCCCAGAAGATATAAATATAAAAATAAATAAATAACGGGTATCATGATAATTCAATAAAATTTAATAAATATAAATAGAAAAAAAAAAGAAAAAAGGTATCATGATAATTTAATAAAATTTAATAAATAGAAATAGAAAAAAAAAGAAAAATTAAAAATTAAAAGTGAAAAACTAACGAGAAAAGAGAAGAAAAAAAAAGAAGACAAAAGGAAAATTAAAAGAGAAATAAAAAGGAGTTGGAGAAAACATAAGTTTAAAGATAAAATTATGAATAACTATGTATTTTTTATGCTATGAATTTATGTTTTGGTTGAATGTTAAGGTTTTAAAAATTGTGTTTTGAGTTTATTGATGAATTAATTTAAATATTATAAGATTGATTGTTGTGGGTAATGAATTGGTAGTTAAATCATGAGATAACAGTGGTTAATATGTAGAAAGTTTGGTTTGAGGTTGAAGATGACACAATTTTGGTTTGGTCCCTCAATTTATAGAAATTACAATTTAGTCCCCAAACTTTGGGAAATTACAAATAGATCCCTGGAGCATATTCCGAGATTCTAAACAGAATAAAAGATGAATTATGGGCAGAATTCCTGTATAGTTATGAAATTTTAACACTTCAATTTGGTCCTCTAATTTGACAAAAAATTACAGTTTTACCCTAAAATTTGGAAAAATTCTAGAATGGTCCCTGGAGTATAATGAGATATTGTGGACAGAATTGAGGATTAAATATGATCAGAATTTCAGTATAGTCCCTGGAGCCTTCAATTTGACAAAAGTTACAATTTGACCCTTTAAAATATGATAAATTTCAGATTAGTTCCTAGTTGTAATATTACCTTTTGCATATTGGTTTGATGAATAATTGAGTGTTATTTAGTGAATTAGTACCAATGTTTTATTTTTTTTATTATGAATTAGATTTCAGAAAATCGTTAAATTTTGAGTTTTTGAGAAAATTAACTAGTTAGTTAAAAAACATATAGGATTATAGAATATACCCTTATATAAATATATTAAATAGGTTAAATGTTCTTTCAAGTCGTTCTTGAATATGTCTACTTTGTATTTATATAATCCTGATATTTTACTAGCACAATGTCAATATGATTTGTTTTTGTGTTTGTTTTTAACTTTTGTTTATTTTTTAGTAAGGTAAGTGGATAATTTTTTATATATATGAGAAATATTATAAATATTTGATTTATTAATATGAATTGGATCGTGTTTCTTGATAATATATATGCTGATTATTATCTTTATTATAATAAAACATGATTAATTGTTGAATCTGAATTCTTGATATGAACCAATATATATTTTGAATTGACTTCTGAATTAATAGCTCCTCATTTGATTAATAAATTGAGCACCGAGATATGAATATGTTTGTTTGATTATGATAAATTGAGCACTAAGATATGAATATGTTTGTTTGATTATGATTATAAACCTATGGTATACCAGTCAGAATATCGATACTAATAGGGTAGTGCTAGTTTTTGAACACATCATATCTACACCCTAGTTGGTCAAGGGAGTCACCAACCTGTGTATATAATGAGTTTTATCTTATGATAATCTTGTTATGTCCTATTTAAGGAACTTTTTTATAAGAATCTAAAACCAATTATATATATATATATATATATATATATATATCTCATTGTTCTATTATCTTGTGTGTATATATTGAAGATTATCTATTTATTAAGTTGTTAAACCTTATCCTCTCATTATTTATCCTTTTTAGGTTTATAGTTTGATAACAATTCATTTTTGTTAGACCTTTAGAGCTTGTTTTTATTGTTGTAGTTTGTACATTTTTCTTTATATCTAGTTAGTATTTTAAAACTATAAAATTATATTAACTCTTGTATTAAAAAAATCAAATTGTTTTATAAAAAGTTAATTTTGTTATTAATAACATGTTAAACTTTGATTGAGTGAAGATAAATTTATATTTAAATTTGAGTTCAAACTTTGAAAAAAAACCTTATTTATATACCTTATTTATATACCTGTCATAGATGCAAGATTCAGGTCGATCTATGACAGGTATGGGCTTAAATTGGGCACTGAAAACTATCACTACTCGAGCCTGAAAGCCCCTTTCAGTATGGGGCCGCACGGCAGTCTTTGCCTCTGTAAAAGGCAGAGAGTACTCTGCAACCAATTTATCTCGGCAGCTAAACTATGAATCTTAGGGCTGGGAGGCAGGGTTGTTGCTTTGTACTGTATTCAACACGTAACGAATGCTATCTTTATTCATGTCATCAAATAGTTATAGACCATCACAAGATGGATAGTATATTCTCTGATAGAGTAAACTAATTTGTTCACAAATAAATGGTTCTTTCCCTTCTCCATAGTACAGGCTGATCTTGGATAACCACCGTGTTCTATAAGAGATTGTTGAAGTTTTTGTTGTTACACTGCCTGCCAGCTATCTCATCTTAGGTATAAGATTTAACAGTAAAATCTTCATGAATATACCTTATCAAAGCAATGGATGACATTAAAACGGGTCAACTTGACAGAAAAAACTGAAATCCTAATCGATTCCCACCAAGAAAAATATGAAACATGAACTCAAAATATTATGTAATTATCATGGGTATTGCCATTGGGGCCTTTCTGAGAAAGCAAAACCAGGGGCTTAAGCCTAATGAGGGCATTTATACGGTGATTCAGTTGTTTGATAAGGGACAACAAGTTTGCTGGTTCAAGCACATCCTGCTTTGATCACCTCTCAAATCATTCTGGTATTTCATATAACGCAATAGAAGAAGGTTATCGAGAGAAATGTCAAGTAAAATGACCACGTTGGGAGATTTATCTCTATATATAGTATTCCCAAGTACTCTGCCAAAAAGGATAAAATCCACAGCACCGAACCTTCCAAGTTTCAGAAAATAAAAAAAAAAGTTTCAGATAATAGAAATTGTAAAAATGATTAGAAAACAAGAGCCTGGGAAAGGTTCATTTGGCACCTGTTTGGAAAGAAGTTATTGCGGTAGGCATATCGCCTCGGAGATACAGGGTTTTTTAACATTGAAAACTTGAATGGATCAAAGGAAAAGCTACATCTTTATGGCACAAAAGTTTCAGTAACTCAGTATTACTTGGTAACTTGGTGGCGCTGCCAAAGCTCATACATGACCATGTGAAATGCATCAAGTCTGACTGGAGGTAGATTTCACTGGAAGTGCTTCTGGACCTGATTCAGGAGTACGGAATTCCATCCTATCAAGTTTTAACACAGTATGAAGAGGACATTTGAAGTAGAGGGATTGTGAGGGAAAAACCTGTGGGCGTACCTTGATTGTGTTGGTATACAGTGCTTCATATTCTTGCTGCTTTATGTCTTTAAGGGTGCCCCATGGATCAAAGATAACATTCTCCTCGGGTATTACAGCGAACTGATGCCAGTCAAGAACGTCTTTGAATGGTAAATCATAGTGTTCAGACAAGATAACTGCACAAAGTTATACGAACTTCTTAGGAAACAACGGAAACACAACACTTTAAGATACCATACCAGAGAAGAGATGAAAGAAGAAGAACTTGTATATCACCTGGAACGCATCCATAAATTACGACTGCTATATCGCCATCGAGCTGAGGGCCTCCAGCACAGATGCATAACTTAGACTTGTATAAATTTTAATTTGTGGTATGACCAACGTCCTTTTTCAGTACTGGCTTTTAGTCCTCCTTTGATGTCCGTTTCTGTACCATAACCCCCCCAAGCGTGGACCAGCCTCTTTCTAACAAAAGAATCAGTAAGAACTCTCCAGAAAGCTAGTTTAGTGTAGTTCTGCAACATATACATGCCATTCAGCTAGTGTTGTTGTAATTGATATGAAACTACGTAGTTATATTCCTGATATGAGGAATATGACAAACATGTTAAATTACGTTTTCGAAGTCTTATTTCCAGCAGAAGAAACATCAAATGGCTGCACATTTTGTGGGAGGGATACATCCTTATGAGGAACATATTCGTGATTATAAGTTGGAGAACACACGAGTCTAATTGAATTGTTCATAAGATGAGCAATTCGTGCAGTAGCAGTCATATCAATGTCTGCACAACTTATGAAGAAGTGATCGGCACCTAAACTTCTGTTCCAATAAGGGTACTGGGAAATAATGCTCTTGACATAATCCTCGACAGCAGTAGACCTTTCATCCTCGGATTTCCCCTTCACATAACAACATCAGTGGCTTAGGACAACGAAAGTAGTGAACTGCTGAAGATGTTCCAGCTTGTACATTTTGTTTGATATCTCTGCATCATCCTGAACAGCAAAGATAAGCAACATTTTCCCTAGATTCCTGGTTTCTTGAGTTAAAAGCACATAGCACTACTTGATTCGTATACAAAATTCCATATACAAAATTTACTAATACAAAAACCATAATGCCATTTTAGTGGTCTAGTATCACTAACTGTATCTTCGCGCCAATTTATTTAACAATGATTAAAAAAAAACATTTATTCTCTGAATTATCTTAAATTACTGTAAACAAAATCCTCACATAGCGCAAGAAATCCTAAAAACCTAAAATTTCAACTTAACCATAAAATTAAGAAAACAATAATTGGTACTCATTAAAATAAATAATCTATCACACCGAAGTTACAAAATCACAATCAACACATTAAATCTATTAATTTTTCTCACGTCCCAAAAACAAGTACAGATAATTAAAAGCTTTCTGGAATCAGATTTGGGTTATTGCTGTTACTGATCATCATCTCCTGCATGCTGAGAAAATGACAATGTGCATGCAAAGAGTATGTTAATGGGTGAAGGACTTAAGAACAGTTTCCAAGCTGAACAGCATGCTTCACATTTCTATATCATTTCATAATTGCTGTGTGCATTGAGCGTTTTGCTTAGATTTATAGTTATGTTGAAACAAGATATACCGAACATGGAATCTTGAAAATTGACAGATACAGTATAATTCAAAATTGATGTAGCTCGATCTGGCCTTCATATCTAAGTTCTAATGACTGGTTTACTTATTTCCAGAAAAATGAAATGGATAGCATTTTATTCTTATTCATGTGAATGCAGATTCTCATACATTCATGAGAATCTTTCTTATCTCAACATTCTCTTGGAATTACAAGAAAAAAAAAGGCTAAGTGATATTCGAATGCGAAGCAAACAATCAACCCTTGGGGGTAAAGGCAGTGCTTCTTTTGAATTAAATGGAGTAACCAATAACTCGGCAACTTAGACCGACCCCGCAACGCAGAGCCACTGTCCTACAAAGAGAGCATTGCAGTTGAGATTGGGGTTGATAGCATCAAAGGATGCAGCTGTCAAATTAAAGGACTGTGCAATGGCAAAACAAGTGTCTCCACTAGCTGCTCCAACCACTTCATCACATTCTGGGGTACTTTTGGCGGAGAAACCAGCAGCTGCTCATCAGACATTGTTTAACATTTGAAAGAAAATGAAGTCAATATATTTCATGAAAACATAAGTTAATATTTACAAGGGATTTTCAGAACAAAGTAATGCTATCTAAAGTACTTACTGCCATGAATGCGACTTTCAGCCATGGAGATAATGAGGAGAAAGGAGAGCACCAAGACTGACCTCAAAACAGAGGCTGATATGCTGTTTCCCTGGGCCATTTTAAGGAATGTGTTTTCCTTCCTCTCTAGTGGATATTCAGTTTATACTTTTCTGTTTTGTGGGTTGCGGACTCTCATGTCTAGCACTTGTGTTTATACTACAATGTTCCATTGTTAATGATGAAACCAAGAAATAAATCCAAAATTGTTGTTTTTGTTCTCACAAGGGGGCCGGCGCCGGCTACTGTAAAATTTTGATACTTCTCTTGTGATTCTCTTAATTTGACATAATTTTTTTTTTCCTATGCGTCCAATATGTTTTACTATTCAAATAGCCCCATGCAGTGGACGTTAAAAGATTGCATTGAGACAACTTATAGCTTGTGTTGGATCAGATCATGTTGAAACAACTAGCCCGATTTTTCATTTTGTTCATTATTTTTATTTTTACACGAAGGGCATGAATGATTGGCCAAGCGTTTGTGCACAAGACTAGCTAAATCCTTTGGTTGAGTGATCTTATCTTTCAGATTGCGTTGGAAAATCTGCCTTATCTATAGATAATGATCATCAGGAATTAATCTCATCAATTCAGTTAGCCGACCTTAATTTGAGAATTCCGAATTCCTTAAGGAATCACGAATCCTTTTCTAACCAGGAAAACATTGGTCAACCGATATTCTATGCCTATAAATCAACAAACAAAGACTCGTATATTTCCACAAACCCTAGCTGCTAGATTCACTGTCTTCATTAGCTTCTTCGTTTTGTCACAAACCCCACTGCCCTTCTTCCTCTCTCAACTCAATCATGGAGAATCCCATCAATTACAATTTTATTGTCAGATTAAAACCCAAAACATATAGAAACTCGCAACATGTCAATATTGACCAACTACCAACAACATTCCCTGTGAACTTCTTGCTTTACAAGCGAGAGATCTACTCTCTTCATGGGGTGTATAGAAGACCCGAGGCCATAAGCCGCAAAATTATTCACATCTCGGTTGGAGATTCACCGAGTCATCACATTAATGATTTCAAAGAGATCTTGACCGACATGGGCATCCCTGAAATCAAGATATCACAGATACTATTCGAAATTACAACGAAGGCGCATGGCATTGATACGTCTAACGGCGTATTCATGTTTGTCTCAATACGGAAGACAATCTATCAAGAAGCTAGACTTCGTAATGAAGAAGATGATATTGCTAGAGCTGAGAGGGAGTCAATGGAGGTTGAGGCAAAGCCAATCCCGGCCACCAAGTCATCTATTGATGCATTGGAAAGGGTGGTTTTGGACGCCTCGGCGTCAGCGAGAGACTGCACTGTTTGTATGGAAGAGATTGACGCAGGGAGTGAAGCAATTCGGATGCCGTGCTCGCATGTCTATCACTCAGATTGCATTGTTAAGTGGTTGCAAACTAGTCACATGTGTCCTCTTTGCCGCTATCATATGCCCTGTGAATACTTGTGAACATGATCATCATCAGCACCAACTAGCTTTTCTTTGTCCTGTTTAGGTTTTACCAACTTTAAAATACTCTTGAGGATTGGATTGTATGTTTGAAACAATTTTATCAATTATTAAACTTTGATTTCATCACTTTTATCAGTTATTAAACTTTGATTTCATCATTTTTTTTTTCTTTTGTTAATTATAGCTGTAATTAAAAATTGCAAAGTTGGCTAAAACATGCATATTGCAGCTTTACCTGAGAATAGCTAACAAGAAGCCAGAAACTCATAAATGAATGGATGAATCCAGGCGCAGGGCAGCTGTCAAAAGAAAGAAAGATCCCAAAATATATACTTTGATTGATTGTTTTTTGTTTGCTGTTGGAAGAAAAAACCAAACAATCCCCATACCATTAGGAAACCAATGACCACATGTGCATTATCAAAACAAATGACGAGAAAAAACACCACTCCGACCTGATAAGCTTCGATTTTTCCTTACTACCAGAAAAATATTTATTTCTAGAGTTTTTTTTTAAAATAGAATTGTTTGATATTAACTTAATCATTAAAGAGTTGTTTTAGAATGAATTTTTTATAGGTATTAAGCATAATTAATTTTTTAAATTTCATTAAAAATATAAATCAGATTGACAGAATTAAAAAATTAATAATCTTATCTCAATTTCAGCTTCGCCTTCATGCCCATGAAATAAAATCATACAATCACCGTGCCAACCACTCTTGATTTTACTTTACCTGCTCTAAACATGCATGGAAGTAGATTATTAGAACCTGGATCTGCTCATAATCTATGGAGGACTGAGTCTTAAGAGAAAACGAGTTGAAGTGTATAAGCGAGAAAAGCAGAAGTTTCATCGTCAGATTGCTAACAGGTCACTTGAAACTTCAGACGTTCCATTTCATTGGCTTTTCGATATTTCATAACATTGCAGCCCTATCATACATAGAGAAACATTGAGCAATTGTCTTGAAACCTTTTGAGGAGAGGAAGTGTCCCAACCCGAATCCCGGATTCATGACCGGTACATAGGCAAGGTTCCCCTCCAAGGTTCCATACCTATACGAACCCAAACTTACACACAAACTTATCCTAACTCAATCAGAGTTCAACACAGCATTAATAACAAAATCAACTTCATAATATAATTGAATTGTCTTAATACAAGAGTTAATATAATCTCATAGTTTTGGAGCACTAATTAGGCATAAAGGAAAATGTACGAATTACAATCAAAAGAGCAGGTTCTGAAGGTCCAACAAAAGTGACCTGCTATCAAGCTATAAGCCTGAAAATGATAAATAATGAGAGTGTGAGTTCAACGA